GTGTGTGTGTGTGTGTGTGTGTGTGTGTGTGTGTGTGTGTGTGTGTGTGTGTGTGTGCGCGCGCGCGCGCGTGTGTGTGCGCGCTCCGTGCTGGGGATGCAAAGACAACAGTGAGAAACAGCCCCTGTCCTCCTGGAGCTTCCTTTCTACTATGGGGAGGGAACATGTAAACCTGCAAACTTCAGACCCCTGGAGGAGGGGAACAAGGACCCTCAGGACTGGGGGCATGGGCAGGCTTTCCACAGGAGGTGGTGCACTGGCTGAACCTTGACTCTGGGACTTTAAATGGCAGAGGTGAGGAGGGAGACAGCTTTTGAGGAGGCACCCGCACCATGTTCTGGGAACAGCAGGTAGGTCAGTTGGGCTGGAATATGGATTGCATGAAAGAGAATGATGCGGAATGAATCTAGGAAGGAGGTGGGAGCCGGAGGTGAAGGGCTTCCAATCCCAAACTGAGAAGTCTGAGAAGTTTTATTTTTGAGGCAGTAGGGGGCTCCTGAAGGCCACACACATTTACCCCACACAGCAAGTGAGTTACAAAATCGTGTTTTTCCACCACAGACAGCATCTGTCATCCGTCTGCTTTGATCTGTTCATGGAGCCATCCCTTTGGTACAGGCCCTCAGCCCTTCTGACGGTGCCTCAGCTGGCTGACAATCCAGCTTTGATATTGGGGATCCTGTTTGAGAAGGGGGGCCGAGGACTGGGGTGGTAGCTAGACAGACGTAGCTGGAGGTCCCTTGAGGAGGGCTCCCTGGTCACAAATGACAGGAAGGATTGGAGGGAGGGGCGCAGCAGCCGACTTAATTGGGAGGAATTGGCTCTGCACTCCCACAAATCACAGCCCCGCCCCCCCCCCCCCCCAGTATCTCAGCAGATGGTTCACAAGTTGTTGAGGCCAAAAAACTAAATCCACAGCATTTGGCCAATATTTTGTGACGTACCTCTTAGTGTTGAGGTAGGTAGTGGCTCAGTGGATAGCCTTCTGGGTTGTTGTTGTGTCTCCTTCATTCTAGAAGAGAACCATGACATCAGGAAGGTGATGCCGTGACTTGCAAGTGAATTGGATTTAAGTGAGGGAGGGTAGTGCAAGGTCACCGGCCTCACTCTCTCCTCTGGAGCCATCTGGGTCCCTGGCAAGATATAGATCAGGATGACTGGGGATGGCCCTGGATGCAGTGGGAGACCTTGGCCTTTTTAAGCTAGGTCTTTCCCAGGTCTCAGTTTGCCTGAAGCAATGCCCATTCAGTGATTTAGGCCTGGTAAGAGAATGGCCTCTTTTACCTAGTCAGCTATAGGTAATAGGCCAAGCCCCACTAGGTCATTATTTGGGCCCTGATTAGCTCAGAGTGAATGTAAATAGCAGTTGTTTCTGTTTTGGCCAGAAACCCTGAGAGGCTTCCCCTCCCAGATTGAGCATTCTGGGGCTGGAGTCATGAAGACTTGGGTTTAAATCTAGTCTCAGACACTTACTAGCTGTGTGACCCTGGGCAAGTCACTTAATTTTGTTTGCCTCAGTTTCTTTATTTGTAAAATGAGCTGGAGAAGGAAACGGCAAACTGCTCCCATATCTTTGCCAAGAAAAACCCAAATGGAGTCACTGAGAGTCGGACACGACTGAAAAAAAGCTATATGCCAGGAACTGTGAGAAGGGCCTTACAAGTATCTCATTTGACTCTCACAACAGCTCTGCAGGGTGATAAGTGCTATTATTACCTCCATTTTGCAGCTGAGGAAACTGAGGTGAACAGAGGTTAGAGGCAGACAAATGACTTGCTCAGGGTCACACAGATGATAAGTATCTGAGGCTGCATTTGAACGCAAATCTTTCTGACTCTAGACCCAACATTCTATGAGTGCATAGAATAGATCCACCAGCATCTAGTAAGTAAACAAAGGGACAGACTTTCTTTTATCAATATCTTAATAGGTGGCTGCTATGGCCATTTCCTACGGGTGGGGAGGCAACGGACTGGTTAAACTATCTCCTTTAGACAAACCTTTTTCTCACCCATTTCTCACCCACCTTTCCAAGGGGCTTCTCTGAGGATTATGGAAAGAATTTCTTTTTCTTTCTTTCTTTTTTTTTCAGGTAAGGCAATTGGGGTTTAGTGACTTGCCCAGGGTCACACAGCTAGTAGTGTCAAGTGTCTGGTCTGAGACCAAATTAGAACTTGGGTCCTCAGAGCTGGTGCTCTATCCTTTATATCACCCAGCTGCCGCCAAAAGAATTTCTTAATAATTCTAAAGAAACAAAGAACCAGCTTTTTAACATGTCTCCCCAAGTGGAAAGAGCAAGTCTTGCACTTGGGGCCCAAAAGCCTGGGTTTGAGTAATAATAATAATATTAATGATAAGAGTTCTAATAGTAAGTGCCACTTACTAGCTGTCTGATTGTGAGTCACGTTTCTGCGTCTGGCCTTGCCTTCCTCCACTCCAGAATGAGAGCCTGGTGGCTTCTGAGCTCCCTTCCAGCTCTGACATTCTTGGTTCCAGAGGACTGGAATCAGGAAGACCTGATTTTAGCACCTGCCCAACTGTGTGACCCCAAGCAAGACAATTAACCTCTGTCTGCCTCCGTTTCCTCAAAATGAGGATAATAATAACTTCTCCCTCCCAGGGATGTTATGAGAATGTGATTGTTTATAAAATGCTTAGTACTGGTGCCTGGAACCTAGTAGGTAGTTAATAGATGCTTCTCCTCTTCCCCCCAGATCTGTGAACCTGGGGTTAGGGTAGGGAGGGAGCAGGCTATGAAGGGCTTTAAAAGCCAAATAAAGGGTCTTCTATTTGATCCTGGAGTAATAGGGAGACCCTGGAGCTTATTGACATGGTCAGATCTGTGTTTTAGGCAGATCAGTTTGACAGCCAAGTGGAAGATGGCCTCAGTGGGGTTGGCCCAGACTCGAGGCGGTGAGGCCTGGATCTGGCGGTGGCCAGGGCAGAGGAGAGAAGGGGGTTTGTAGGAGAGAGGAGCGTAGAAATGACAGGACTTTACCACTGATTGGATAACGGGGTGGGGGACGAGAGTGAGGATCTGAGGGGGACCCCATGGCCTGCAGCCTGGATGACTGCACTCACTGTGTCCCAGCACAGTATAAGAGCTGGGGGAACAGAGGTGAACAAAGAAGAAAGCCAGTCTCTGCCCTCAGGGAGCTTACACTCTAATGAGACACAGAGGCACAGGAAACTGAGAAAGCCAGAGAGGCATGCAGCCCATTAGGGCCCCCAAGGTGAACTGAACTGGGCCTGGCTGGTCCTCGGTGTCCAGGCCACCCAGGGCATTACCAGATGGGAGGACAAAAGCCACTCATATTGGGTTGTGATCTGCACCCTGGAAGGGAGGGAAGGTCCAGACTGAGGAGATTTTTCATCAGCTGGGTGACCCCAGGTAAGTCACTGAACCTCCATCTGCCTCATTCTCCTCATCTGCAAAATGGGGATAATAATAGCACCTATCTCCTGGGTTGTTGTGTGAAGATTATATGAGATGATACTTGTAAAGCACTTAGCACAGTGACTGTCACACAGCAAGCACTAAATACATGTTAGCTATTATTATTATTATTATAATATCACAATTGAGCCTTTCAGCATTAGGTAATATACATTAAGTGCTACAGGCATTTGAGGCAGAAGGAGGAAGAGATAGATGAGGATGAAAAGGAGGAGATGGGTGGAGAGGGGGCTGGAAGTGTTTGGCTAGTCACTCACCAGACCATAGCTGACTTCTGCAGCTCTTCTTGCCTCTTCAGGACATGGTCACTTACTATTTAAACCTCACCCATGCCAACCTGCACGCCCCAAGGTGGGAGAAGGAGTACCGACTGACTGAAGCCTTCCAGGCCCAGGACGGCTCAGCAGCCTCCATGCAGCGGGTGCTGGACCAGATTACGCAGGATAACTGTGCCCTGCAGAGATACTACCAGTACAACTCCGTCAACTATGACTTGGACCCTTGTGACCAGCGCTGCCGGGTGGAGCACCTGTGTGCTGTGAGGGAGGTGGACTTTGCAAACTATGAAAAGTGCATCGAGTCGGCCAGCTGCCCTTGTGGGCTGTCGGGGTCCTTGCTCCTCCTCTGCCTGATGATGGGGCTTCACTTGATGTGAGCTCTGACTCCCCAGCGGGAGAGAAGCGTCGTGGGGAGAGAGGGCCCAGAACAGGCACAGAGCTTCTGAAGCCCAAACCTTTGGGGCTGCCGGGGAGTCAAAGGGATACACGTGGAAAGAGCAGGGGACTGAGAAAGCCCTTCATGGCTGGCCCCTCCCACCTTCCCAGTCTTCCTGCTCCAAGTAATCTGCTTTTAGTATTTAGTAAGCTCCTACTCTATCCCTACCGTGTAAGCTACTACTGTGCTAAGCACTTTACAAATATTATTTCATTTGCAACTCCCAGGCACCCTGGGAGGTAGGTGTTATCATTATCCCCATTTGACAGAGGAGGAAACCAAGGCAGAGAGAAATTAAGTGAACCTGCCCAGGCTCCCACAGCTAGTATCAGGTTGGTTAGAATTCAGGTCCTCCTGACTGCAGCCTCGAATTCTTCCAGTTCTATACAGCCGCCAAGACCCTCCCTCTCCATCTCCAGACTCCAGGCCTCTGCCCCGACCATTCCTATGCCTGGAATACTCTCCCTCCTCTTCATTCTCATCTCCACTTCCCGGTTTCCCTGGCTTCCTTCAAATCTCAGCTAAAACTGCATTTTTGTGAGACGATTTTCCTGATTTCCCTTAATCCTGGGTGACTACTTGCAGTTTATCCCATGTGTATATTGTTTGGACATAGTCATCCTCCCATTAGACGGAGCTCTTTGAGAGCAGGGACTGACTTTTACCTTCTGTATGCCCAGTGCTTAGCACATCGCCTGGCACACAGTAGGTGCTCAATAAATGTTTGTTGATTTGACTTACAGTAGCCTTTCCTGATTCCCCCTTCCAGAACCACCACCCCCTTAAAAAAAAATTCATTTTCAGATGAGGAAGAAAGAGAGGCTTGGCCTCGTGGTGTTGAGCTCCAGTATGATGCATGCGTAAGGCTCCCAGGGTGCCGGCCCCACGCACCTTGGCCTAGTTCTAAAACGCAGCAGTGGCTGTATTTATTTGTTAAATATTTCCCAGTTTCAGTTTCACCCGTTCTAAATGACCCTTGAGGTCCCTCCCGGTCCTGTAGCTCAGGCGACCGTCGCCCTGGGGCCGGTGATTATGGCCCCTGCACCGGCCTCTCCAGGAGCAAGATGCCTGGACCGAGGGCTCGGAACCGAAGACCCAACAGAGGCCTGGAACGTGGTTAATTTCACACCCTCGACGTTTCAAAAAGTGTTTTCCTTCACTCTCACGGGGTGGGGGGTGGCAGCCCTTTGCTACGAGGGGGACACTGAAGCGCCTCCCCGTTTGGACACTCCCCCATAGGAGCACGTGAAGTCTGAAAAACAACGCCCCAAAGGCCGGGCTGGGGAGGGGAGGGCCAGGGAGGAGCTCCCTGGGGCTCCGCCCCACTGGGGGAGGAGGTGTATTATGCCTGATCCCGCCCCCGCCCCGTGGAGGCGGTCCCAGGGGCCGGGAGAGAGCCCTCTCCCTACCCCACCCGGACATAAGGATGTGAAAGGGGCGGGGCTCTTGCAAGGAAAAGGAGGGAGGGGGCGGGCCCCGTAGAGAAGGGGAGGGGAGGAGGAAGAGAAGGGGTCATGACGTAGAGGATAGGAGGGGACGGGATGGAAGGGGCGGGGCATCGCGGGGATAGGCGGGGACAAGATGGAAGGGGCGGGGCGTCGCGGGATAGGAGGGGACGAGATGGAAGGGGCGGGACATCCCCTCCTCATTCCTGTCTGCCGCATACTGACCCGGCCCGCCAGAGCCGTGGGTTGGAGTGGGGCCGGCGGAGGCAGGAGGAAGAAGGGCCATGCCTGGGTCCCCCCGCGCCTGCCGGCTCCGCGACCTGCTGCTGACGGCGTTCGGCACGGGTGCCTTCGTGCTGGACCTGGGCGCCGACGTATGGGCCGCGGGCCAGTACGCGCGGCAGGGCTGCCTGCTGTGGGCCGCGCTGCAGCTGGCCGCGCTGGGCCTCGCCTCGACCACCCAGCAGCTCTTCAGCTGGACCTGGTACCGCGGAGACCCCGCCGACCTGCACCCGAGCCCGCACCCGGGCCGCCTCCTGGCGCTGCTGCACCTCCTGCACCTGGGCTACCTGCATAGGCAAGTCCCCGCGCCACCGGCCGCGCCTCAGTTTCCCCCCTTTTCAGATGACTCCTGCTGCGGGGTGGAGGGGGACTAGATGATACTTAAGGTCCTTGCCAGTTCTAGGTGGGGAAGGAAAAGGCACAAGCATTTACTAAGCGCCTGCTCTGTGCCAGGCACCTTGCTAAGCGCTTTATGATTATTTTATTTGACCCTCAAAATAAGCCAGAGGGGTAGGTGCTATTATGATTCCCATTTCACTGTTGAGGAAACTGAGGCAGACAGCATTTAAGTGAGTTGCCCGTGGTCACACAGCTAGAAAGTGTCTGAGGCTGGATTTGAACTTAGGTCTTCCAGACTCCAGGCTCTCCACTTAGCTGCCCTAAATATAAATATAAATGTTATCATGATTATTATTAAATAATTACACAGTGGCTCTCCAGTCCAGAACTGGGACGGATACTCTTTGCCAGAGGCCATCTTTGTCCTAAACCATTGGATTGTAAACTTGAGGGTAGGCACTGTCTTCCTACTTGCTCCCCATTCCCCAGCTCTTAAGTTCCCAGCCTTATCTTTAGTAGGTTAGATTAGATAAGTGTTTAAGTCCTTAGAGGTAAATCTTTTGGTGCTCAACCATGGGAATAAAAATGCCAAAAAAAAAAAAAAAAAAAAGACTGTGTCTGCCCTCTGGGAGCTTACTTTCTAAGGGAAGGGAGGGAGACTTTAAAGACATTTTGGGGGAGTTGTAAAGGCAAGGGTGGGGGGAGAGAGGGAGGCAGAAAAGTCATCTTAACTTCTGAGTACATTGGAGGGTTTTCTTTTAAGGAGGGTATCAGAAGTAAGTGTTTAAGAAATGTTCAGTCTGTCTACCTCTCTCTCTATCAATCATCTATTTTTCTCTCTTCTTCCCATCTCCCTCAGAAGTAAAATGACTTGCCTAGGGTCCTACACAGCCAGGGTTCTTCAGCTAGGACTTGCACTCTAAGGCCTTCTCTTGCTCCACTGTACCAAGCTGCCTCTCACTATAAAAATGCCAGTTATTCTTAACAGTGAATGTTAAAGTGGGAACAGACTTTGGTGATGACCTCACCACCACTTTTTAAGAACTACAGGAAAGAGTTGGTGGCAGATGGGCCAGTGATTGTCCACTTCCCCATTGCTTATGGCAGGGAAGCCTTAGACATCATTCCCGAGTTCTTTTCTAGGAGTGGGCACCGTCTAGCTGCCAAGCCTGCTGCATTCTCAGTCCCATTCAGTAGCCTTCCATTTGTGATTTGGCTGAAGTCTGTTATGTTAGCTGCCTCCTGCTCTAGGGAATTACAGAGACTTATGAGACTTGCCTACAAATGTCATTCTTCCAACTCAGTGCAGTAATCATGGTGCCCTTGGGAGCAAAGTTGGTTGAATAAAAAAATTCGATAGTCCCTCCTACCCTGTGGTGCAGCCAGGTACAAGAACAACATTTTATGTTGCGAGCTGTTATTCAAGTGGAGACTTTTTTTTAGCTGGTTGAGGTCTCATAGTGTTAGGTGATGATTTCTAGGTGCTGCTCTGGTATTCATTTGCTCTGTGACCTTGGGCGAATAGGGTCCTAATGCCTGCCTCACATCTCCAATAGGGCCCTCAGGAGTGGTAAGATGTGAAGGGCCCAGTACACAGTCGGCTCTTCATAAATGCTTGTTGGTTGTGAATTGAAAATGTAGTAAAACTGTAATGGGCAGAATCATTCCTGGAAATGGAACAAGCCCTCTGACATTGTCTCATAAATGTAGGACCCCTTCACTAACAGGCAAATGGGTCATGGCTCCTGAGAGAACCTTGAAATTCAAACTTTCCTTTTTGACTGAAAACAAAAACCAAAACAAACCAACATATATATAAATGTTAACCAAACAACAGTAAAGAGCTGTCCATTTGCTGTGTCCCCTTCCCAGACCACCTGAGCTGCATTTCTTGCACTTTGCTGATTGGTCCCCTTTCTCTGTCATCTTCAGACTAGGCCTGGAAACATCACTTTGAGAACACTGCAGCTCAGGGTGAGCCAAGGCAGGGGGCTGAAGTTAAGGATTACAAAAAACTTTGTTATTTTTTTAACCTGGTAGTTTTTTTTTATTTAACCTAATATTTTATATAACCCAGTTTTTAGCTCCAGTAGGAGATCAAAGGTGGGACAGGCCTTTGGACTGCTGGAGTGAAGGCAGGTAGCAGAACATCCTAGATTTATAACTGAAGGGACTTTTGAGGGCATCTCCTCCTTTCAGATTCAACTAGAAAGCAGTTAGTCATCAGGCTCTTACTATGGGCCAGGCACTGTGCTAAACCACAGGGCACACATGCCGAAAAGACAGCCCTGACCGCAAGGAGTTTACACTCCTGGAGACTGAGAAGGTTTCTAGGGCAGGGGTGGAGAAGTGGTCCAGATAGTCTGGGTCGAGGTGAAAGGGAAGGCCGTAGCTCAGTGGCCAGAGCAATGGCCTGTGTGATCTGTAAAAGGAGAGAGTTGGACCCCATGGCCCCTGAGGGCCCTTCCAGCTCCAAATCTTTGATCTTCATGTCAGAGACAGTATTGAAATCTAGGTCTTCCTGACGCCAAGGTCTGTGTTATACCCCCTATACCAACCCTTATTGATTGTTCTTCTCTTTTCTCTGCCAAAGACAAAAGACAAAATTCAAGTGACCAGGCTGGTGGATAGCGAGCCACTGTTAGTGTGATCTTTGAAAGAACTGAGAGAATGGGACAGACACCCAGGGAACTCCTGAAGAAGACCAGTGTCTGGGAGCAGGAAGAGAATGGAAGCTGCAAACTGCAGCCCGATGACCTTACCCTTCATTCCTGCCCAAGTATAGAGCTCCCTGTTAGAGGGATGGTTACTGAGAGCCAGCACACCCTCATTTAGAAGAGGTCGGGCCACAGCAGCCTCATTCTCCTTCTTAATGCGGTTACTGGACTGGTTGGTCAGGGGAAGGTTGTAGATACAACATACCTAGATCTTACCAAATATTAGACTGCCTCATGCTGGAAAAGGTGAAGTGACGTCAGCTAAACTAATACAACTCTGTGGTCTGGGAACTAGTTGGATGATTCAATGTCCACATGGAAGGATCCAGCCAGAGACTGTATTTATGTCCCCCGAGCTTAGCATAGTGCCTGCCTGGCACCTAGGAGGTCCTTAATAAATATTTATTGGCTGATTGCTTGGCCCTCTGTTGCCATTTTATCAGTAACTTGAATAAAGGCATAAACAGAACGCTTGTCAAATCTGCAGACAGTACAAAGCTGGGAACAGTTGGTTAATAGATTTGATGACAGATTTGGGATCTAAAAAAGACATTCCCATGTTTGGTCTTTCTGTCCCTGGTGCCCTGTAGTGTTTTGCTTTTCCTTGAATAGTGTGAGGAAAGCATAGGCTATGTGTATCTCAGTTAAAACTGATCAGAAGGTTAATTATCAGTTAATTAATTCCTCCATGGGCAAGTTGAAAATTAAAGATAGAGCTGTTTGTCCCAGAACCTGTTCAGTGATTGCGTCGGCCTTCCGGGTCAGAGGGGGCAGGCAAAGCTGGAATTGTCTGAGGGCAAATGGTGTGTTGAACCTTTTGTGTGTCCCAGACCCCTCTAGTTTCTGGTGAAGCCTATGGGTTCCTCAGAAGAACATTGTTAAGTGAATAAATTAAAGGACTTAGGACGACAAAGGAAACTGATTCTACTGAAATAGGTCATAGTTCAAAAGCCCCACCCCCAGACTCCTCCCATGGCAGGGAGTCTTTGGGAGCCTTTGCTTTGTTGCCCGGGACTCAGAGGACTAACTCTGCCCCTGTCGGTTCCCTGCCAGGTGTGTACAGGCCCTGAAAGTGGGATTTGCCCTGTGGAGGCAGGAGGAGCCAGCAGAGTTTGACCTCGACTATGCCAACTTCATTTCCATGGATATCAGTATGCTGCGGCTCTTTGAGACCTTCCTGGAGGCTACCCCCCAGCTCATCCTGGTACTTCATATCACCCTGTGTACGAGCAGAGTGGAATACTATCAGTGTGAGTGCTGGCCCAGGACCCTCCTGGGGTGGGCGTGGGAGGGACGAGGCCCTGGGCCCTGGTGGGGCTGGAGGCCCTGGGCCCCTGTGTGTCAGGGCTGGAGAAGATGTCCCAAACCTAATAGTGTTTTTGCTTTGCTGAAGGCTCCTTGGAGACCAAGTTAAGGGGATTTTGCCTCTTCTAGGTATATGAAGATCTCATAGAATCTCAGGCTAGAAAGGATATATTCTGCCCAAATGTGGGCTTGAAAGGGTCTAGGAGGATGGATTCAAGGTGGTTGGCTGTGGGGCATGGGCCTGCTCCCGTGTGGCAGGAATAGCCCTGGGCCAGATTCTGGGTCTCCCATGTCAGAGTGGCTTTGCTCCTTGCTATCTCTGTGACCTTGGCTAAGCCTGTTTCCCAGGGTGACAAAGTAAAGGCCCCCTTGTTCCCCAGCACCCAGATGCTCCATGCCAAGGGAGGGGGCCCCAGGAGAGGGCTTTTGTGGGGTTCAGGGACCCCTGTTGTTGACAGGGAATCTATCAAGCAACAAGTAGTTATCAAGTATCTCCTCTGTGCTGGGCCCTGGAGCTACCAAGATAGAAATGAAACAGCCCCTGCCCTCAGGAAGCTTACATTCTGTTGAAGGAAACACATATACATAGTATATATATGTGAATGCATATATATATATATATACACACACTATGTGTATATATACTGATATATACATATATATAACATGCTTTACACGTAGCATATTAAAGATATACAGGGTGTTTCAGAAGTCTTGGTACAGCTTCATGTTTTAATGGTGTCCCAAAAGTCTTAATGCATGTAAGAGTTTAGAGCTGCACTGAGACTTTTGGGACACCCTGTATACAGAATAAAAACAAGGTAGTTTTTTAGGGGGAGGGTCTTAGCAGCTGCAGAGATCAAGGATAGTTTTGGGTAAAAAGTATTGCCTGAGCTCAGCCTTGAAGACAACTAGAGTGCTGAGGGAGGGAGGGAGAGAAAGAAAGCCATTGTGCCTAGACTGCGGAGAATGTGACTGAAGGGGGGCAATGGATGTGGGTCCAAGCCAGGCTGAGAGTCAACCCGAGAGGCCATCTGTGCCCCTGCAGAGCCCTTTAGGACAACACTGGGGCTGTGTGGAGGACAGGCTGGCATGAGGAAGGACTTGAGGCAGGGTGACCATAGGACGCGAGGATAGAGATGCCCAAGGATTAGACCAGGCTGCCACCCTGTGAAGAGAGCAGGATGGATAGGAAAGATACGGGGCAGAGACGAAGAGATGGCGATCAGCGATTTGGCGATGGATTGGCTGTGGGTAGAGTAAGGGAGACAGAGGGAAGGGGGATGACACTGAGGCTGCAAACGTGGGCGGCTGGAAGGGACCAAAGTTGGGAGTGGGAAGGGTTTTGGGGGGAAAGATAATGACCTCAGTTTTAGATGGGGACTTGGAGATGCCGCTATAACGTCGAACTGGAAAATGTCCCAGCTGCTCCCGGCCAGTCACCACAGCCTCCTGGTGCTCTCCACTCACTCCAATGCTCTTCCTAAAGTACAGGCCTGACCATGTCACTCTCCTACCCAGTAAACCCAGGAGCTCCCGATTAACCCAAGTTCAATATGAAATCCTCTTTTTGACTTTTAAGGCCCTTTGTCATTTGACCCACTCCTCCCTTTCTGGTCTTCTTTGCCTTCTCCTCCACACACTCTGTGTCCAGTGATACTGGCCTCCTCACTGCTCCTCAAGCAAGACTCTCCATCTCACAGCTCTGGGCATTTTCCCTGGCTGTGCCCGATGTCTGCAACATCTTCCCTTCTGGCTTTCCCGACCTCCTTCAATTCCCTTCTGCAAGAAGCCATTCTTGGACCTGCTTAATCTCCATGCCTTCCCTCTGAGACCACCCCCAGTTTATCCTGGCTAGATCTTACTTGTCCACATTTGCATATTGTCTCATGCATTAGACTGTGAGCTCTTTTGCTTTGCGTATAGTAGGAGCTTAATAAATGCTCATTGACGTAAGTTGGGAGGTGAGGTCAGACTTGAAGGCCATTTGCACAGACATAATTACGCCTTTGGCAACTGATGAAGTCACCAAGAAAGTGTGGAGAGAGAAGTGGTTCTTCGTGGTACGGAGATGACTCAGGGTTTTCAGATGCCAAGGGAGCTCAAGTCTGGCAAGGGCTGCCGGGCGAGAAGGGCTTCCCCAAATGCACATGGTAGTTTATATATCTGAGCTGCATTTCTGTGTTTGGCCTTTAAGACATGGATGGTGGAAACTCAGGAGAGCACGAGGGTGGACAGAGGAACAGAATGTACCTGGGCTTCCCGGCACGCCCCCATATACTGCCAGCTCCTGCCCTATGAGGCACAGAGAGGTTTCCAGTAAATAATGAAACAGCTGTCTCCAAAAGCCCAAAGGAGTTGGTTGCTCTTTGGAGGGAGGCCCCAGGCTTAGGAAATCACAGCTCTTTTGATGAGGTTTGACAGCATAGGGTCAGGGTCTGGAGTAGGGAGGGGCACGAGTGCCAGAGAGCCACGGTTCCCAAACTATGTGTGCCGCATGCAGCAAACTCCCAGGGACACCAGAGACAGTTCACATTTTGGACCTATTTATTAAATAGAACTGTTAGTTATTTCTTTTGGTCCATGGAAACCATTAAAAGATTTGTTGTTGTTCAGTCGTGTCTGACTCTTCCTGACCCTGTCGCCCATATCATGCCAATACCATCTCTGAGATTTTCTTGGCAGAGATACTGGAGCAATTTACCACTTATTTCTTCAGTGGATGAAGGCAAACAGGGTGAAGTGACTTGCCCAGGGGCACCCAGCAAGTGTCTGAGGCTGGATTTGAACTCAGGTCTTCTTGCCTCCAGGCCTGGCCCTCTAGCTGCTGCTATCACCCTAGAAAGTTTGGGAACCTCTGCCAGAGTAGCGCCTTGGCATAGCTTCCATCTGTGGACCAGTCCTGGGACACCCACCAGTTACACAGGGGCCAGAGGCAGCAGCAATGGGCTTGGGAACGGGACCAGGTGCTCTGCCCCTTTGCAGACGTCCTGCCTCAACTTCCTTCCCAGGCCCCAAGGGAGGCCTAGGAAAGCTGGGGCTGAGGTAGACCCTTCTTGTGAGAAATTAGCTCGCTTTGCCTTCCATAAGGTCACAGGCCCTAAGGGGCAGTCCTGAGGAGAACTTGTTCACCAAGGGATTTCCTTCCGAGGTGTAGTAGGGAGGAGCCGGGTGGGAACAGACTGGGCCAGGGTCGAACTCCCTGGGATGGGTGGGGAGCTGCCGCCATGTTTTCTGGGCACTTGGTCTCTGTTTAAGGCTCTGTCTTGTGTGGTGGGTCTTGGGTCTCAGGACCTGAGGTGAGTTGGTAAACTACTTGGTGGGTTCTGTCCCCTCCAGTCGCCTCTTCCGGCAGCCTGAGGCCACAGTCATTTCTCCTGTGCTGTTGTCGTCTCACCCCGTAATGCCACGTGGCAGTGGCAGTGGCTGTGGATCCCAGCTCACGCCTGCTGTCTTTGCGCTTCACAGGGCTAGGCATCGGCACCTCCTTCATCTGCATGGCGTGGGCCTTGCTGGATTATCACCGGGCCCTGCGGAGCTGCCTGCCCACCAAGCCGGCCCTGGGCTACTTCTCTTCCACTGTCTACTTCCTCTGGAACCTGCTGCTGCTGTGTCCGCGCATCGTGGCGCTGGCCCTCTTCACCACTGTCTTCCCCAGGTACATCGCCATCCACTTCCTGCTCCTCTGGGTGGTCCTGCTCCTCTGGGTGTGGCTGCAGAACACAGACTTCATGCCAGGCCCCGCGTCTGAGTGGCTGTACCGCGGCACGGTGGCTGTCATTCTCTACTTCTCCTGGTTCAATGTGTCAGAGGGGAGGACTCAGAGCCGCAGCATCATCTACTTCAGCTTCCTTGCGATGGACAGTGCCCTCCTGGGCGGCACGTGGCTGGCACACAATATCCCGCTGCCCAGCCCCTCGCTGTTGCTGTGGCTGCTGCCTGGGGCTGCGCTCTGCTTCCTGCTGGGCCTGGGGGTGAGGGGCGCCTACTACCAGTGGCTGCACCCCAGCCGCCAAGCGGAAGCCTTGGACGAGGGGGATGGCAGCCGGGGCTTTGCTCTCCAGGACGGGCACCTCAACAGGCGGATGGCTGTCCTCGCCCAGAGCTTCTTCCCTATAGCTGCCCCTGCCAAGAGTGAGGAGGTGAATGGTGTCCTCTGAGCTAGGACCGGGACCAAGCCACGCCAGGTGGCCTTCCTCAGCCTGGCCTCCGAGTCTCAGGTTCACAGGGGCTCTTGCTTCTACCTGGGAGATGGGAGAAGTGTCAGAAACTATGCTATCGGTACTTTGGGACTAGGGAAGTGGGGGAGGATGCGGTGGTGGGCTCTCATCGCTGCTGCCGCCCCCCTCCCTCCCCAACACACACAGGAGCCGGCAGTGCCTTAGTGGCCTGTTACTGGTCATCCCAGCAGGGTTGGGTGGGGACAGGGATGCCGGCCTGCTTGGGCAGTGCTCATGGCTGGCTGGGCCTCACACCTGCTGGAGCCAGGAAGGGCAAACTGCCAGTGCCATTCAAAGTGCCTCATGAGCCTCATATCAGGACCAACACATGCCTCATTCCCTGGAGGCTTTTTTTGTTGTCAAGAAGGAAACACTTTTTCTTTCTATCATTTCTTTGTACCTCCCATCTCGACTGGAGGGAAGAGGTGCTGCTTAAGTTGGGAAGGAGTTTGATTCGTTTTGCACAGTGTTATGTGAAGTTTATTAAAACCTTTGAAACCTGCATGGCCTGTCTTCTTACTGCACCAGTTCAAGACAACTGCGAGCTGCCAACCCTGCCCTTCCAGAGCTCTGGCCTAGGACAGACCCAGGCACATAGAAACACATGCAGAAACACATCCTTTCCCCCTGAAGAAAGGGCCTTGGGAAATGGCACAATCCAACCATAGTGGCTTTTTTTGCGGGGGGAGTAGTGAGGGGCCTAGACTGATTTGTGAGCTGACCATCCCAGGCTATGGCCTACCCAGGCCTATATCCCCATTTGAGCCCCCTAAAGGGGGCTCTGGGCTTTGCCGCTGCCTCTCTGGTGACCTCTGTCACCAACATCCATGGAAGCTGCGGCTGGTTTAGCATCCCCAGTAGAGGGGACGTGGACAGCACCTTCTAGTCTGGTCCCTGGGTCCAATATCGCTCCCCTGAGGAGGAGGCTGCCCAGGCTAGGAAGACTCCAGCTCTACAGACCACTGTATCATCCTTTGTCTGGGGATAGCAGCTTGGCATCTGGTGCAGAGACAGGGCCTCAGCAGCACGTTGTGCCTGAACTCATCTGCCCTGGGAAGGTACGGCTCTGCCTGCTCCAAGGAGGAGCCTCTCACTCGATCTTCCTCCACCCCTAAAAAGGAGCTAGCAACACTAGCATGTTAGGGACGGATGCTTTTTTCCCTCAGGCCTTAGGGCCCAGGACTAATACTTTGTCAACTGGTTCAATGCTGGGGAACTTTAGAAATAATCTAGTTCATTCCCTTTTTCCTTAAAAAAAACAAAAAACACCACCACCACCACCACCAAAAAAAAAGAACCCCAAACAAAAAAAACAAACAAACAGGAAATGGGCCCGGAGAGGGAAAAGGACAGGTTCAAGGTCACACTTAGCTCGAGGCAGAGGAGCCAGAACAAAAAACGGAGTCTCCTGCTGGCCAGCATGGGCTGAGCCGGCTGCTCCCTGGCCTAGATGGGCTCTGCCTCCATGGACCCTATCCCGAGTAGAGCTGCTGGTGCTGGCTGGTCCTCAGAGGAGCCTCAACAGGTTTTAAACTCTCCTTTAATAACTCAACAAATTCCCTATTAATGTTTGTGGGCCCCACTAACTGCTGTGTGATCCTCCAGGAGTCACTCGACCCCGAAGGTCTCATTTTTGTGGTTCACCAAAAGGAGCAAATTCTTACCCTGCTGCCCTGGCTCAGGGCAGGTGGGAAGAGATGTGCCCCATTCTTAGTGGCCGGGTCTCTGCTGCCTAAGGACCCAGTGAGGTTGTACTGGGGAGTTTATCTTATGATCCAAGCAGTCAGGGCAGGACGTAGACGACAGTGACTTCTTTTCCGCCCTGGCTGACCCCGACTGTTATGCTTGAGTGTCCCTTTAGAAGAAGGGACAGAAGCCAATTGTATAGAAAATAAAAACTTTATTTTTTTCAAGTTTATAAGATAGTTCCCATTACATATAACATTATGGTCAAGGAATCTACAGCCACGAATGCCCTCGGTCACATAAATATTCCAAATCCCACGTTTTATTCCTGCTTTGAGGCATCGAAAGTCCAGAGGGAAAAATCCAGTTTTAAGCAGAATCAGTCCTTAAGGGAATGGTTCCTGTCAGTGCAGTAGGGACTAGCCAAGTAGTTTTATTTTCCAGTCTTCTTTCTGAGAGGGAGCAAAGGGAGGACTGAACCATTGCTACTGAGCTCACCCAGGGTCAGGACATGAATTTCTTTGCTGTGGCTTGAGACCTCCCAGGATTCAAATCTGGTTTCCACAGTTTGAATGCTTCAGCTTCTGAATGAATAACGAAACAAGGAATGGTGAGAAATGAAACCTGTCTCAGGGGCGTGGAAGTTCTGTACGGTGAGCCTGCCTCTCCCAGAGCTGGCTACAGCCTTCTGCCCATCACGGCCCCCACAAGGAGGACAGTCACGTATGTGCATAGCGTCTGCCTGGCAGCTCTCCCCAGGCATTGGCAGCAGCCCCACAGTCACTCTGGCGGTGGTAGATGGGGCTGGGAAGAGCCCTGCAGCCACCACTATTTCCATTCAAATGCAATCTGCCACCAACCTGAGCTTTCACTGAACCTGACCTTGGAGTAAATGGTACCTGGTTGCTCTCTGCTAACAGCCTCCACACCTATCCCTCGGCAGAGAATGAAGGAAAAAACCAAACCCAATGAGAACACACATATTGCAGAAGCCCTAGGTGGGCTTCTGGGCTAGCTTGGGGGTCACTTCACGGACACACAGACTTCCCTGTCAGTGCTCTGGACACGGTGACACTAAGGCACGGTCAGTTTTACATTCGAAAGGTAAGCCGCCCTATGACCCTGGGGTTCTCCTGGTGGCTGTGGATCACCAGGGGCAGTTTTTGGACCCATCTTACAGGAACCAATGTCAGGTGGAAGTGTCAATTACTTGGCTAATTCCATAGGGGATTGTCTCAAATACAAAGGGTTTCAGGCATGTTCCACTAGGCTATTTTCTTGGAAACTAAAGGATTCATAGCATTCCTCAGCTCCATCCCTACTAGGCCCAGCCCAACATAGTCATCTCCATTCCAAAGATTCCTGGAGATAAGGGAAGTATGTGCTGTGTAGGCAGAACACTGCAAACTGGTAAAGTGGAGGCAGATTCCTCCTGGCCTCCCCTTTGGTGGCAGGGGGCCAAGGGGACTGGAGTAGCCTGGTTGCCCTCCAGGGTATTTCTCCTGAGAGAACTTCCTCCCTTGACAAAGTCAGAGTTCATCTGCAAACAACCTGTACCCAGCTACTGGCCCCTGTACTGGGGGGGGGGGCGGGGAAACCCCAAAAAACCAGGGTTCTAGGCTCCTTAGGTCACAAGAGTGGAGAACTTTCTATGGTATGTGGGAAGTTGGAGGGTGGATCCCTCTACAATTCTTGCCCAGCCTATGGCACAGCGTCCTCTGGGTAGGTGTAAGAGAAGCTTAGAACCAGAGAGAAGGCAGACTCATCTTCCTGATGTTGCTCTGCAGGTCACGAAGGTGCATCTGAAGGAGATGCTTCTGCCAATTCTAAGGGATGAGGAAGGAGCAGCTTCTCAGGCCATCAGGATCCGAGGGACGGTCTCGTGTCTGCTGCTTGCTCCTCCGCAGGGCTCGGTGGCCTCAGGCAGGGCCCAGTTCCTCTCTTTGGGTTGGCAGAGTACAGCCCCCCTGAAGACAGGCAGAGCCTCCTGACTCCCCCAGTTGTGTCTCCTCTCCAGCCAGAGACCAAGGCAGCTGAGACTAGGGAAGTTCAGGCGGCAGACTTAGGCTGCTGCCAACGAGAGATGTTCCTCTTATGGCGGGCATTTCCCAGGGTCTCCAGATTGGCAGAGGGAGCCCCAAAGATGCCATTTCAAACTGGGAGCCAATGGAAAATCAGGTCACATCGACGGCTCAAATAGCTGCAACTCTACCAGCCATGCCTGGGATTCACAAGCTCAGCGCTAGCCTGTGGGAGTCAGGGCTGACTGGAGAAAGCCCAATTCCTTGCCTCAGGTTTAAGGTCTCAGCACACAGTCAGGGCCCAGCAGCATCATCTACACCTGGAAAGGAGCCTGGGCTACGTCCCCACAGCTGTTGGAAGAAGAGGTGGTTCACCGTCGGTCATACGGACAGGGTTGCACTGGAAGTGTGGGCAGAGCCTGAGGAGGTTGGTGACCTGGCCAAGGGATGCAGCTTCACTACACAGCTAGGAGAGAAGAGTCTTGGGGGACTGGGAGAGAGAGAAAAGGAGCAGGCATCAGGGCACCATAGAGATGGGAAATGTGCAAAGAGGTACGGGGCCCTCTCTTTGGTTTCTCTGGCCTGGTTCAGCCGCTGAGATGCCTGGGAGATCTGAGTGTTGGGCAAACACCTTGGTAGCGGTGGGGTAAGAATCCAAGGTTTATCTGGGTTTGGCAAGGGAGGCACAGGGGAGAGAGAACATTTTTTAGAACAGATGTCACAATGACAGAAGGTCACTTGTGGGGGCGCTTTTTAGTGCAGAAGCCTGGGTGCCCCTGACATATTTCCTTAAGGGCCAGCTCCTGCACTGGGCTCACAAAGCAGTGAAGCCGCTGGTGACCTCAGCAGGAGGGGGCAGGCCCAAATGAAAGAACAGCTTGGGGGGATGAGGGGGTCGGGGCCACCAACCTCAAGGGTGGAGAACAGGAAGGAGCTAAGGAAAAGCTACTGGCACGGGTAATGGAGATCAGAGACCATTCATTCAGATTTTCCAAGAAAATCTACCCTTCTGCCCCACCCCAACTTTTGGCTTAATGAAGAAGGGACAAAGAGAAAATCTGCTTCAGAGACCAGAGCCTGGCCTATAAAAAGAACACATCCATTCACCGGGAATAAATTCAATAGCTAAATGGATTGTAAAGGACGGAGACGTCACAAGAGCTTACTGCTTCTAACCTAGTGACCACAAGTTCATAGCACTGTGTTTTCCCATCACACACTACACTGGAGCACAACTCTGCCTCAGGGATTTTTTTTTTCCTTTTAAAAAGAAAACAACAATAGGAGAATGAAATCACTGTAGCTAAGGTGAGACTGCCGTCCTCTCCATCTGTCGCCTGCTTCTGCACCAGGCCGTGCCCGGGGATGGATCTCCCTCGTGGAGAAAACAAACTGTCCCTTCCTGCGCTGGGCTCGGCTGGGCTCACATCTTGTCCCAAAGAGAGAAGAGCCCCCGTGGGGAGGGAGAAGGGCTCCTGGGGCTGGCACCTCAGCTCCCATCCTTAAAGGAAATCCAGTTCCAGAGCTTGGTGGAGTGACACAAGGTCTCCATGGTTTGTGATCCTCCAGAAAGGCATGTTGTGCTGAAAGAGATGGGGGACGCCAGGTTAGTCACAGCCCCTCCACAAGCCACCTCCCAGGTGCCTCATCACTCAGGCCACCTTCCACTGCCAGGCTCGGACCACAGGTGATGGTGCCTTTGGCCTCTCTGGCCTGGTTTTAGCAGATCAGATCCATAACCAAGCTATCCTCAATAAGGAGACAGGCCAAGTCAGACAATCTAGAAGGATGGAAGGGGGAGAAAGTTTTCTGGGCCCTTTTCTCCTCTGTAAAATGAGGGGTTGCAAATGAGATGATCTCCAAAGTACTTTCTGGTCCTGATTTCTGGCTGTCCCCGACAGGGGAGAGATTCAGGGTGCAAACTGAAACAATTCTGGGGGATAGAGCCAATCTAGGGCTTTGTTTTGGTTTCCTATACAGGTTTGTAAAAGAAGCTTTGTTTTCTTTCTAATTTGGGGGGAGGGAGGAGAAAGAGGTGGATTTTCACAGATTGAAAAAAATAATTAAAAATTTAGACTGCGACTGTGGGAAAGCAGTAAGGCTAAGAAATCTTTTTTGTTCTATAAAACTTTATTGTGCTATGGGATTTGTCTGAAATTCACACATTGTCCTTCATTTATTTTGGAAAAGCAGGGAGGCTTTTGTGGGGCGGGGCTGGTAATACAGAAGGGGAAAGAAGAGCAGCACCACCCCATTAATGGGCTTTACACCATCACCAGACAAGAGCTGTCCAGCGTCTGCTTGGGCAGCTTCCTCACTGGTGGATAATAGTAACTGTCAGGACCAGCAGAGGTGGCCTTCTAGGCCTGTGCCACCCGCCCTCCTGCCTGTAGAGGCCAAGCCCCCAACTTGGACCCCCCGATGCGGCTTTAGGCCTGGCTCTCCTCAGGGCCATCCCAATCTGCTGAGTCATCAGAGACTCCAAGAACCTTCAAATCCCCTGACAGCTTCTTGCACTCATAAGAACATGGCTCTTTCTAGGAGACAAGGCGTTCCTGGTCATCCTTTTCTAATTCTGGGTATTCCCTCCCTCAGACTCCATACCCTAATGCACACTTTATAACTGAGGTCTGGGAAGGTTAAGGGACTTGCCCCAGGTCACCTGGAATTTGAACTCACAGCACCCCCTGTATTCTCACCCCCATCCAGGCTTCTGTCAGAGAAGACCACCTCTGCCTTACTCACTTCACAGGCCTGACTCACATCGAGTGCAGCCTGAAAGGGACAATGTGTTAGATGCACACAAAGCACCACTGCTACTGGGGTCTTCTTTTTAGGGAAGCCCACATCCTGCACAGTCACAAGGCCCAAAGGGCTGGAGAAACAGGAATGAGGACAAACAGATGAAGAAAGGGAAAGGATGGGGAAAAGGACGTTCTGCCTGGCGCTGCCGCTCAAGGCACTAAAGATGCTCATTAGGAGGGCAGCAGACTGCACCAGGCAGGAGGGAAGGGGAAAAGAGAACAGAAACCTTTATTCACTTTCTATAGTTTAATACACATTCTCCTTCTCATGGGAAACCCATGAGGAGGAAGTAGGAGGATCCTTCTCTGGCAGAGAAGGGCAAGGAGAGGGCATGGAGGGGATGACATGTCTGAGCATGTGGCTGGCAGGTGTGAGGGGCAAGGGCACCCTCTGTCCCCTCGGAGCTTTACCTGTATGCCAGGAAGGTGAAGAACGGAGGAGGGGAACCAGAGAGGCCCTTCCCTCGTCACCTCCCAGGGCCTCAGAACAGTCTGGGAGTGAATCCCCTAAGCTACAGTCTGCCTCTGTTGTTGGCAGCCAGGCCTGGTCAGGGGGTGATGGAGGCTGCAGGGCTTTTCCAAGGCCCTAGTGGCACACATGCCACTTTCTCACATGTAAGAATTTGTTTTCTCTCCTGATATTACCTGTTTGGCTGCAATTTCCTCATCCCGTCCGTCTCCGATCACTACATATGTCACTTTCTTGCCAAATCGAGACACGATTCTCTCGAAGCAGCTCTCCTTACCTGTGGGGAAAGGACAGCTTGGGGTGGGACTTCTGTTTCTAGTTTCTGTGGCCCAGAGAAGGCCATTCTGTAAGCCAGCTGTGCCAAACTTCCTCTCCGGCCTCCTATTGCCACACATCTCCCTAGAGTAAAAATCTTGGGTCCCGGAACCCAGGCTTCTACCCTAGTCTTCGGGCCTTGCTCAGGTCCCAGGGTTGGTGGGGTGCAGGGGTAAGGAAGGATGTTTCATCAGCTTGATGGAAAACAATTTCTAAATGTATGACCTCCTGACACAACTCAACAGATGTCCCTGTCATTCTCCTGGTGAGGGCTGGCTTTGTGCCTCAGCTGATAGCTGCCTACATGTCATTCCTGAGCTTCCCCAAATAAGCCCCTGGCCTGACCCCTACACCTCACCCATCTACAATGTGTTACTATCTTTAGGTTTTCCCACTGTCCTTTGCAGGATCCCCTTTCAGGAGGCACCTCCTCTCCACTCACGGAGGAGGGATTAGCTTCTCTGTTTAAGTCAGTACCAAGGCTAACGTGCTGGGGGTCAGCAGGCAGCATGAGGGATGATGGGGTGGAAAGGAGATCTTGCCAAGTTTTAACTGAAGGCCAGCGCTGGCCTCAGCCAGTGTGCCCAAGAGGAGGTGGGCCCCATCATCTCCTGATGCTCACTTCAGCGCTGGGGCCCTGGCCCTGACCCAAGGGAGCACACCAGCCAGCTAGGGAAGCATCCCATTTCCCAAGGGCACTGCCTCACTTCTGGGTGCTGAGGTGTAAGAGCAGGTGTTGCATTACCAAAACTCATCCCAGGTAATAGAGGCAATTAAGGCAGCTTTCCGGGTAGATTGTATGCCTCGTTTGCCCCATTTCTAGACCCATCCCATCTCTTTAAGGCTCAGCTCAGGCCACACCTCAGACAGGAGGCCTCTGCTAATCTCCTCAACACAACTGACACTACCTAGAGCTTCTGTACTAAACATGAACACCTGTCACTCCAGTGCCTCAGCACAGTGTCACATACCTTCAGGTACTTCATGAATGCTTGCTGAACTCAATCTGAGAAACTCAGCTGTTTGTACATCCCCCCCCCCCCCCCCCCCCCGCACCCCCCCCCACCCCCCCCCCCTCCTGGGGCCCCACCGCCCCCCCCCCCCCCCAACAACTGGTTTTTGTTTTCATCCTGAAATTTAAAATGTGAACACCAGATTTGCTATCTGAGTTATCCTTTATTCTCTAAACACCCAATGGAAAATAAAGGCTTTAAGATCCTAGAAAGTCACAGCTGGAAGGAACCAGAGAGAAAATCTGTAAACCAAACCGCTCACTTTACAGTAGAAGCTGAGGCCAAGGGAGAAGTGACTTGGCACAGGTCAATAGCAGAAGCAGGACTAGAACACAGGTCACCCGACTCTTAGTCTAATGCTTTTTCTACTACACAAAAATATAAATATAAATGAAAAAGGGAAACTTCTTCCTCCAGCGCCCCCTTCCTCAGCTGCTCTTATCATCCTTCCCTCCTATATCCCAGGTCTTACTGCCCAGCACCCACTGCACCTCACCCCACCCTGGACCCAGCATCCACTGTACCTCACCCCATCCTGGACCCAGGGCTCGCATTCATAACTGCTCCAAGCCTTTTGGCTGCTCAACCCCATCAGCTGGCTCCTAACTTGGAACACTTATACATGTTACCATCTCTAACTGTGCCCTTTACAAAGCATCAGCTACTGAATAAATGCCTGTTGAATTTAAGTGACCGGGTCCTTTTTCTCTTCTTGGCCTGTTTCCTCATCTGCCAATGGCAGTGGGTGAAACAGATCCCCACCGAGGTCAGATACTGTTCTATGGTCTCTCCTGGCTCTAAAATCCTATGATGGAATTATCTTCTATATCCTAAGTATCCCGTACATTAAGCTAAACACATTTTTATCCAGCACCTACAATGTACAAATCCAACAACAGTCCCTGCCCTTCAGGATGCCGTGTGTGTGGAGGAGTAGGGGGTGGGGTGCCTGTTACAGTACAGATTGAAGTCGATGACCTTTGAAGTGCCTGCAGCTGTTTCTCCTGGGTCAAAGAATACAACGTATATCCAGATAGCTACGAAGAAAGCAAACACTACCATGACTGGGGTACTAAGGAAGGCTTCACAAAGGGGTGGGGGTGGGGGTGAGGAAGAAGAGTGGTCTGTGAATGATGGTGTGAATCACTCCATTTACAGAACAGCTAAGCGGCTCTCCTGGCCAGAGTCCCGGTTCGGGTGTCTAATGGATTCTCCCTTCCCCTCTCCCACATCCTCTAACCTAAATCAAAAGACATTCGGTAGGCCACTGTTCAATTCAGATCACCCAGAATGCAAGAATCACAATAAACCATAACGACAGCGCCAGAAAACCTCAGAAGGAAACAGAAAAGCTGGACAGGGCTATACTATTGTGCTCAATTTAACAGGTCCTTAAAAAACAAGCTGAAAGGGGTAGCAAGATGGCGTAGTGGATAGAGTCAGGAGGACCTGAGTTCAAATCTAGCCTCAGACCAGACACTTGACACTTAACTAGCTGTGTGACCCTAGGCAAGTCACTTAACCCCAATTGCCTTACCAAAAAAAAAAAAACCAAAACCAAGATGTGCCTCCTCAGGATGCCATCTTTTAGTAAGGGGCAGGCCCAGACTCCCCCACTTATCCTGGGAGGTGGAGAAGCAGAGCCTGGAGTAAGACGACCTGGATCGAGGTCTTGAATCTACCACTCATTAGCTTTGTGACCGTGGCCAATTCATTTCATTTGCCTGTGCCTGAGTTCTCATTTGTCTCCTGATCAGTAAAACAAGTCAGCATTTTATTTACATTTATATTTACTTATAGTTATTTAACTGCAAGCAAAGTAAAGAAATACCTTCCAACTTTGAGAATATATAAGCCTACAAAATGAGAGAATGTGTAAAAACATCGTGTAACTTGAAAGTGCAATTATTTAAATGCCATCCACTTTGCAGGATCATGTCTGGCACCCAAATTTTGTATGAAGTCACCCTGCTACCTCTCTAGGTAACAGTCAAAGGCCTAAGAATAATGATGACGTTAGTGACAACAACAGTGAAACCTTAGGCAGTACTTTAAAGTCATCTGATCCTGGGCATAAAGACAGAAGGGGCCCCTGGATGTTATTTGGTCCAACTCTCTCATTTTACAGACTAGAAAACTCAGACCAGACAGGTCAGGTGTCCTGCCCAAGGTCACAAGGCAGGAAGTGGAACTAGGCACACCCCCATTGTATTATGTTAAATGCTTTCTTCATATTACCTCCTTAAAGTCTTGCAATAGCCCTGCAAGAGGAACACTAATTGCATCAGTAAACTCACTGAACAGATGTGGAAACTAAGGCAAAGAAAAATGAAGTGATTTGTCCCTGGTTACACAGCTACTAAGTGCCAGATATGAGATTCAAAGCCAGGCTCTCCCGGCTCAGGGTTCAGGGTCTTCCGGTACACACAATGGTGCTCTTTTGTTACATACATGGGCAGGCAGGTTTCCTAAAAACTAAAAGCAGCGCCTGCTGTAAACTGAGATTCCAAAGGAGGCACAAACTCAAGCTCTCAGCTGCTGCTGGAAAGTGCTTTCTTTCAAACACTAGGTTACTAAGCCCAAGGGGGACAAGCTGGGGAACCCCTTCCCCAATGTCGGGGCTGGAGAAGCACAACAGAAGCACGCAGTACCTATCTTAGTAGCACTGTAGATGTTCTCGATGGGGAACACTTCTCCCAGGCCATACAGGAGGACTTTGGCCAGAGCAGGCACCAGCTGTGTGGTGGTTATCAAGACATTCACACAATTCTTTCTGGAGAAAAGGAGAGAAAATTCAAGTCAAAACCTTAATACGTGGCTTGATCAAGGCTGGTGACATAAGGAAAACCAGACTGTGATTCAAGTCTAACAGGCTAAAAAAATCCTAGAGGGGGAGAACGTCAGCCCATCTTCACCCCTCAAGCATGAATTCCCTCTACAACCTCATCAAAATAATACCAACATACATTTCCATATCGCTTTAAAGTTTATAAAGTGAAACCATGAGGTAGGTAAGCCATTTTATAGGTGAGAAAAGTCCCAGAGAAGGTAACCGACTTACCCAGGGTTACACAGTAAACAGTGAAGCTAGGACTCAAAGCCAGAAGCATTGACATCAAGCCCGTCACCCTACCACGGTGCAGAAGACGTCCTTGATGCGGGGTCTCTCAGCCTCTACTTAAGCATGGAGCACCATGACAGGGAGCTCACTATCTGCTGCACAGAGGCTTTTCATCCCAAGTACAGATGCCTCTTCCTTAACACTGATCTCAAGCCCGCCTCTTTTTAACTTCAGCTCTCTGGTCCTAGCTCTGTCTCCTGGGGCAAAGAAAAACAAGTCTCTCCCCCTAAATCTCCTCTTCTCCAGAATGAACACCTTCAGGTCCTCCAACTGACCCTTGTATGGCACGTTTCTCTTCAGTCCCTCCCTCTCCTGGCCTCCTAGACACACCTGAGCTTAGACATGTTCCTCCCTAGATGTGCCGCGCACGTTTCAGGTCTAACCGGACACTATGCTGCAGACGTGGCCTGATCAGTGCAGAGGACCATGGTCTCCATCCTTCTTAAGGACTGTTAATGCAGCAGCTGGCTCAGGGAGGGCTGAGTGCCACGCGAACCCCTGGAGCAACGATGCTCCCTTCTGAACTTGGAGAGTCAAGGCAGCACATATATTGGAAAGAGCACTCTAGGGAAGGGTCAGGACCACTAAGATCTGGCTCTAGAACTTACTTTTGTGTGAGCCTTAGCAGCGTCTTCTGAAAAGTGGAGATAAAAGTATCTTCATTACCCACCTCAGACAGCTGCTCTGAGGAAACACATCTAAGACTAGGAGCAATTATCACCATTACTACGAAAGACTGTTCTAACTGTTTGATGTGTGGGGAAGCTTGGTTGCCCAAAACATTACAAAACACATGAAGGCAGGGGGTCTACAGGGCATGCACACACCACTGTATCCTCCGCGATGCTATGGCTGGGTATCAAACACGATTAATACTTGCTAAATTTAAAACAAAGTGTGACCCACGATGAAAGTTCCCTTTGACAGGAAAGGGACTCGGGGAGGCGCTCCAACTGGGATCCCACTGGATCTGATTGCGAGGTTGGGGTTGCTGGGCCTGTGCCTTGAGTGAACGTTCTGGGACAGAGACTAGAGGTGGTAGAATGAGGTCAGGGCATGAGTGTGGATTCTCATGTCTATGTGAAATTGGTGACAACCCCCCTACATTTAATAAATCACCAAAGCACTAGCTTGGGCATGGATGGACACAGTGTTGTCACATGCTGTAACCCTGGATTAACAAGTTTCCTTTCATAATGAGCTTCTAAGATACATCAGAATAAGAAATAACAGCCCCGTCCCACCCCAGCCCCAGCTTGGCTTCTTCAAACCCAGTGTTTCCTCCAGGTCAGCCCACATCAGGGTCCACATTCTCTAGGAAGTTGGCCCTCATAACTCCAGTGCTCACAGACCTCTCTCTCCTCTCCCCCCCCCCCGCCCCCAACTGCTCAGCCCACCTGAGGAGGGGTGGAAGAGCTTTGCTTTGAGACCATTAGCCTGTAAAGATCAATTCCATACCTGGACTGGATGAGAAGTAAAGACTTCAGTGCCGTTCCCAGCCAGGAATCAGTTAAGACTTCAATTTCTGCTCTTAGTCTCTGAAGTGCTTCCTTTCTCTGGGGACTGAGAAGGCCTTTGGAAACAAAACCAGACAAAGCTAATTCCTGACATCATGTCTTGGCTGGTACAAGGGGGAAGGACTCTCTCCAAACTCAGGTGGTCCAGGTGAATGCCCATGTCGCTCTTCTTGGATGCTGCCCATCAGAGGGGAAGCCGAGCACCCAAGTGAAACAAAACAGCCTTCCCTTGTAGAACCATGACCACCAGCACCAGGGCACTTCAACTGAGGGATTCAATCTAAGCGTTCAACTCAACCCAAATTAACTCATTTCTTTTGATCAGGCTTGCCTATTTCTGGAAGGACCACAGGTGGTTACAAATAGACACAGCATATAAGGAAATACATTTAAGCATCAAACAGACCATCTGAGGAGATATTTTCAGGCACTACTGCAGAACAGACAGGAAAGAACACTTGGGAAATACAGTGACCTCTCAGGTTTACAGTAGCTCAAGAAAAGAGAGAAATAGGTTAGATGTAGGGGGACAGGGACGGGGGTGTTCTTTATGAGGAAGCACCGAAGTTTATCTACAAAGTTCATCTTTCTCTGTGCTAAATTCAGAAGGGAATTTTTTTGGGGGGGGGGGTTGGGCAATGGGGGTTAAGTGACTTGCCCCGGGTCACACAGCTAGTAAGTGCTATGTGTCTGAGGCCGGATTTGAACTCAGGTCCTCCTGAATCCAAGGCCTGTGCTCTATCCACTGCGCCACCTAGCTGCCCCTAGAAGGGAATTCTTGAAATGGGTTCCTGTATGAATGGTGATACCCAGCGCAATTAGGGTTAGGGCTAGAACCAGGTCTTTGTCCCCTCTTACCCTGCCCTTTGACATTCTTAGGAAGTAGTTCCTGACATCGAGCCTGAATTGTTCCATGTACTCCTACCCCTTGCCATTGCCACTGGCTCTGCTCCGTGAGGCCAAGCAGACCCAGGTCAACCCCTCCTCAGGAGCCTCAGGATAAGGATTCAGGTCCACCTCAGCTGTATGTGTGACTCAAGGCAAGGGGCTTCCTCAGTGAAAAATAAAGGTTGGATTATGTGGTCTTTAAGATCCCTGCCAGTACTAGCATTTAATTACTTTTTGAAATAATATCTAAAAATGTCAGAAAAGTCTGAGACACAGAGACCCCCTAGAAAAGCGCCCTTCTCCATGGTCTTGTAGATCATTAGCATCTTTTAAAAATGTTTTATTGATGCTCTTTTCTTTGTTTACATCACTGTCCCTTCCCATTAACTGCCTTCTATCCTCCTCCCTCACAGATCTCCTCAAACAAATGGATCCTTTCCTTGTAACCAATAAGGATAGTCAAGCAAACAAACCACAACTGTCACATCTAAAAATGTAAACCTTGTTCTGTGCCTATTGTCCTTGACCATTTTGCCATGTAACCTCCCCACTCCTGTAAACTCCAGTGGCTTCCTGTCATTTCAAGGATCAGATACAAAATCCTCTATGTGGCATTCAGAGTTGTAGTCCAAACTCCATCGTTAACTCACATGACCCTAGGCAAAGCAATTCTCTTCCTTGGGCCTCAGCTTCCTGGGCTGTGAAACACTGTGTTTTTATAATGTGTATATGTTCTAAGGGCTTTTCACTTCTGATGATTTTGGTTCTTTCGGCTGTAACACTATGAATATACTATTCTACAGAGTCTGAATAATCTTCAGCAGTGAAGCCCCTCTCCTCATGCTCAAGCTGCATTTGATCCTCTACTTCTTGCAATCTTTCAATTTTTTTTCAGTCTCCCAAACCTTGCCCTGGCACCCAGTCCTCCTGAGCTGTCCTTGGCCTTTCTGATGGGGTAGGAAATGTGGCTGATCGGCATGGGCATGGAGGGTTTGCACTTTCAAAGGGTTAACTGAAAAAAGAGTGGTTACAACCTCAGAAGAATTAATAGTACAATTCCAGATACTCTGGATTTGTTATGGACAAAAGGGCTTTCCCAGGCTCTCTGAATCATAATATAGTGGGTATCATCACTAAAGTCATTAGGGTGGACCTTGTTTTTTACTCATTATGCACTCATGATAATGCTGACCTCTCTCTGTGTGAGGTTTTCTTCTTCCTTGGCTTTATGAAATACTGCCCTTACGGGGTACACTCCTCTTATCTACTAGACCATTATCTTTCTTATTCTGTTTTGTCAGACCAATATTTCACCCATTATCTGTGGGTGTGCTCCAAGTACTAAACTCACTCTTTGTGATCTCATCAGCTCTCAAGAATTCAATCATGACTTCCATGTCAATGACTACCAATCTACACACCCACTCGTCATCTCTCCCATGAATTTCATTCTTGCATTATTAACTGCCTGCTAGGTGTTTTTTTCCCAGACAACCAACCAGGTGACAACTCAAAACTAAGCCCAAAACAAAAATTATGATGTCCCCTATCTAAACCTGCCTGTCCTTTGTAATTTTCTATTTTTACTGAGAGGATGCACTATTTTGCCAGTCACAAAGGTTCATAAACTTGAAGTTAACCTTGACTCTTTCCTTTCTGAGACCTGTTAAAGACCATAGCTTGAAAAGGCCAAGATCTCCTATTGCATCCTGGGCCATCTCCAGTTGTCCTGAACCATATCTGGCCACTGGACCCAGATAGCTCCAGGAGGAGAGAGTGAGGTGGTGACCTTGCACTGCCCTCCCTCACTTAAATCCAATTCACTCACATGTCATGGCATCACTTCCCTGATATCATGGTTCTTTTTGAGAACAAAGAACAAACATCAACAATATACAATCAGCTTTCAAAACCTGTTAGTTCAAACTCTACAACACGTCACCCAACCTGTTCCCTTTTTTCCACCAATACAGCCACCATTCTAGTTGAAGGCCTTCTTTGCCTCTTTGTTGGTTCCCTGCCTCCAACATTCACAGGCCACAGGTCGGACCACATCAGTTCCTCAATAATATTCAGTGGTTCTTTGCTGCCTCGAGGATAAAATACAGGCTCCTCAGGCAGGCTCCACCTTCCCTTTCAGGCTTATTATTTCCAGCTTAGGCCAAACTGGACTACCAGCTATTTCTTGGCTTATATGCTATCAAGTGCATGTGCATTTGCATTTGCAAGGGCAGTTCCCTATGCTTGGAATGAGATCCCTCCTTAGCAGCCCCTCTTAGACTCCAGGTCTATCTATAAAGGTCAGCTCAGGCTCTAGTCCCTCCAAAAAGTCTTCTCTCTGATCCCTCCTAGTCCTTATCTCCCTCCTTAAATCACTTTGCATTTACTTAGTTTATTCTTTGTGTTCCTTGGTTGAATACATGCCCCACCAGCTCCTCTGCTTTGGACTTCTCCATCACACCTCGGTGCTGCTAACTCCAACCCCTCCCCCTTCCCCTTTACAGCCTCCTTTGGTGGGTTGTCTTTCCCCACTAAATCGTAAGCTTCTTGAGGGCAGAGATGGTTTTTTTTTTTTTAAACTTGTATTTGTATCTCCAGTGCTTGGCATAGTGCCTGGCACATAGTAGGAGCTTAATAAACACTTATTAACTAAGTAGAACTTTTTCATTTTTGTCTTTAAATGTGCAATGCTTAGACCAGTGTCTGCCTGTGACAGGCAATTAGCAAACATTTGTTGAACTGAATGAACTTTCACAGTCTCTACTTCCTAACATAAAATGACTAATTCGAGATGTAGTGTGCTCATTAGAGGGAATCAGGGGTGGCTGTAGAACTGCAAGCCTCCTCAATAAACCAGAGGACTCCAGAGGCCCTGTCACAGCTCCACTGAACGGGTGTCTGTCCGAGGAGGCAGAGTGGACAAAGGAAGCAGGAAGTTTAGAGGGCAGAGATGACTGACACGGCCTCCAGGACCCCAGGACGCCAGCCTCCTCACTCTCCCGCAACCTGACTCTGTTTTTCTGTCTCCTGACAGCGTTTTCTCTGGCTGTTCCCCCATACCCTGGAGCGTACTCCCTCCTCCCCGTCTCTGCCTCCCTGCTTCCTCCAAGTCTCAGCTAAAACCCCACCTTGTACAAGAAGCCTTGCCTCATCCACTTTAGTCTCGGTGCCTTATCCTATAGCCATCTTCTTTGTATAAAGTTGTTCGCGTGTTGTCTCTCCCATAAGACTGTGGGCTCCTTGAGGGCAGGCACTGTCTTTTTCCTTTCACTGTATCCCCAGTACTTATTATTAGCACAATGCCTGGCACATAGTAGGTGCTTAATGCTTAATGACTGATTTAAGACACAGGTAAAATGCTATGTCCTCCAAGATGCCATCCCTAAATTCTCTTCCCTCTCCTAAAGATCTTCTTCATCTGATCTCCTAGCATGACATATTTCTCATATGCAATTATATTCTAATTTTTTATTACATTTATCTGGATGCATGTCTTATCACACCTACTAGGCAGGACAGGGTGAGATCTCATTGATCCTTATATCGTCCCCAACATCATGCTTGCTGAATGAGCGAATCCAATTGAACGCTCATTTTACTTAACAGTTTTTGTTTGTTTGTTTGTTTTTTGGTGAGGCAATTGGGATTAAGTGACTTGCCCAGAGTCACATGGCTAGTGAGTGTTATGTGTCTGAGGCTGGATCTGAATTCAGGTCCTCCTGACTCCAAGGTCGGTGCTCTATCCACTGCACCACCTCGCTGCCCCCTGAACACTTTACAAAGGACTGAACTGATATCTTAAGGAGGGAAGTGATCTGCCCAAGGTCACACAGTGAATTAGAAGCAGAGCCAAGATCTGAACCCATGCCTTCTAATTCCAGGCCTGGCACTCTATCCAACAGGCTGTGCTACTACTGATATGAAGCCTCTTTCAAAGGCCAGTTGCGGAACCTGCAGATTTATGCCCACGAATTGAAAAGGTTACTGAAATGTGTGCAGAAAACACCTAGACAGCTTCAGCTGCAGGGGGCACACTCAGAAAATGAAAACCCAGGGACCAAGGGACCAGAAGCCTCCATAATCTTACGGCAAAAATCGCCAATACTTCATTTCAGAGATTCCCATAGTATTTTGAACAAGATAGTAACAAATGTCATTCACAAAAGCTATAACAGCAATAAGAATTCAAAAGAACTTTTAAAGCATTTGTGGTGACAATAAATTCTGGCCATACCAAGAGTTAAAAACAAAAAGTTTCAACTAAGAGGAATACTTTCCAGAAGATCTGTTCATATCACAGGTACACAGTTAAGTTGCTTCTTAAAAAAAGGAAAAATAGTTTCTTTGGCAGACAAGGAAATGTCATTTAGTAGTTACGCTTTTTAGATGAAAAAAGAGTAAAAATGAACAGGCAAAATAGGAAGTCCGGCTAGCCTGCGCACTCACCGCCCACATTGCTTTTGTGTTTGTCATAGATCTCTCTCACTTTGCGATAGCGGAAAGCCAGCTTCCTCATCCAGTCCACTCCCCCCTGCACACCCACAGCGGAGCCATGACTCGCATTGCCTCCTGAGCCGCTGAAACCATCCGTTGAGAAGCTGTAGTTGCTGTACCGGAGAAAACATGGGCGATTAAAATCCTTCCCAACTGGATACCGGGTGACTCTGCTATCTGGGGTCTCTAGACTTTCTTGGCATTGTACTACTAGGTTTAAAGGTTCAATGAATTTTTTCCATGGTCTAAAGGAACAGACTAGAATCTGCTCATTATAACAGGCCAATGCCCTTGACTCTGCTTCCTGGAAAACTTCTGCAATGTCTTATTAAAGGGATGATTAGGGAACATCTAGAAAGGGAGGCAGGGATCACCAAGAGCCAGAAGAGTTTCATCAGGAACAGGCCATGCCAAACTAACTCTGCTTCTTTTTGTTGGGTTATTGGATTCAATTAAGTTATGTGTAGAAAAGGGATGTAGAGAAACTGAAGGGGGCTTACAGATGGATTACTTAAAACAAACAACCATAAAAGGAATTTTCAGTCCTATAAAAAGTAAATAAATGGGATTTGGGAAAGGAAATCTAAAGCCAGAAAAAAGTTAGCCTAGAGGAAGGAATGTTAAAGAGGAAACTATTTCTTCTATGAAGTATTATTAAAAAAAGCTACCACTTGACTATTTATCCAACAGCAACCAGAACCAAGTAGAAGGAAAGAGGCAGAGAACTTTTTGCCAACGAAGGCTGATAAACAGCAGAACAAAGTACCACAAGAAGATGTGCTGTTTCTTTCTAGAGACCTTTGCGAGGCAGGTAAGAAAGCCATGCTGAATGAAATCAGTGTGGCCCAGAACCTGAGTCACTGTCTGTGGGATAAAGGCCAGGACTAGACCATTAGTCTGAAGTCACTTAAATGTGGCCCAGGCTGGCTGAGGTGGAGCTTCCCCACCTGGGCCTCCGTAATTCCACCTTCATTGTAGTTCCATCTTGTCCTTTTCTTCCCGAAGACATCACCAAAACACAAAAGTTACCATCACCAAAGTTAGCGGGAGCTGGGAACTGCGCTGGCTGGGTTCAGATAAGATGATCTAGTGTGAAAGGACACTTTCTTCTGACTGAGATGTTTAAAATTTGTGACCAAAGAGAAGAATCAGAACTGTAGTTTCTTCATTACCTTAAGTCCTGCCCATTGTCATCAGAAGCCACATCTTCCACATGCACTTGGTCACATTCCTGTTAATAAAACAAGTCACATGGTGTTCTAGCCCAGTGGGGCAACACTCCTATCAGCGGACACAGAGTTACTGGGAAAGGGACAGAAACAGGTGAGCCAGAGTGAGCTGTGGCAGTCCATGTGGCAGGATGAGAGGCACTGCCTAGCCAGCCCCACTCCTTGCCTCTGCCCTTAAGGCCCTGCTGCCACCAGCTCTCTTTCACAGCCTCCCTTGACCTTGTAAAGCACCACTTACTTGGAACCCCCCTAGGCACTGACATACGTCCACATGCCTCCTGAGACCCCAAACAGATGGACTGCCACACTTGCCAATATTCCTGTGCCTGGCATGGGGCAGAGTGCCCCCAAGTCACAATCCTTTCCTTTCTTAGAGTTCTCCTAGCACTCTCTACTTCTCCCATGGCCTGGGCATGATGTCTTCTGTACCAGAGTTAAGTACATTCCTCATCTCACTACGCAACTGTAAGGAACTGGAGGGCAGACTCTATACCCTTACTTTATATTTCTTATACCACCTAGCACAGAGCTCTGCACATTAATAGGCCATTTATAAATATCTGTTGAACCTGATCACTTAATTGAACAGATCTTTATTTATGATAATTATGATGAAGGTGGATGATTTAGCTAGACTGTCTTAGAAGTGCTGGAAAAGTCCCTCTCAAAGTCCAACCCTTGTACTCAAAGCTTGGAGAAACTGAGCAAGGTTCTCAGGCTCTCATGGCTGGCAAATGGAAAGCCTGGAGAAAGACTCTTGTCTGGCGATGGACCAGCATTCTTTCCCATTAGCATGTCATATTCAGCATCCACTGGCAGCTGCTGTTCTCATCCAGACGATGTCTGCCCATTTGGGTCTTGTATGACCTATCCTCCTTACTTAGGTGATGGTTAAAATTCCCAACATACCTCCAAGTCATTGAAAAAGAGATGCGTGTCAGCCACCTCAAAGATCATCTCTTCCATAGTTAAACCTGAGCCAATAACAACTGTTGGGTCCTATAAGACAAGAAGATGGAAATCTGCTTAACCTGGCATCACAGGAAAGAACTTTGGAGTTACAATAGCAAATGGAAGAAATGTTGCAATCACAGATCACGGAAGCTTCCTTGCTGAATTATATAAAGTATATTACATTACAGGAACAAGCTAGGGACTTTAAGAAACAAGTGAAAGTCTGGTTTAAGCAAGAATTCTGGGAATATATTAATTTGTATGAAAATGAAAATCATCTTTTACTGAGCAAGCAACACATCAGGAAATAAGCCTGAAGGCTGACATTAAAAGTTGGATGGCAACTCACATTTATCTAATACCTTGATGGATTACTTCATTTGGTTTTTATACTATCTAGATGGGGAAAACAAAGTAAACCCTTAGGCAACTCAGACAGCAGGGTAGCACACCAAAGAAGATGTCTTCTGGTGAGCATACAGAATACGAGAGGATGAGCTGAGACATACGTTAGATTGTAGAATATTAAAACAAAGACCGTCAGCACATCCCAACTCCCAACTCACTCCTGGATTATACTAAATGAAGACATCCCATTGGGAAGATGCTCCTTCCCCAGAAGCCCAGGGAGACCAAACCTCAAAAGAGAGAATAAAAACTTCCAACAAGGGCAGAGCATAAAAAGAGCAGGAGGGAAGCTGGGCTAGACAATGTCTATTAGCCCATTTCATATAAAAGGACCTAGGGAAACAAGATTCCACTGCACAGACACAAAAGCTGCTGAACAATGCATTCTGCAAGTCCTCTGGCTCTCTCCAAGATTGGGCTTGGCCCCCTACAGCAGTTCAGTGCAAGTCAATGATTCCTGTAGCATGTGAATAAATGAATGAATGCCCATCTGGTTCCTACAGCATGTCAGGATCCAAAGTACTTTCCTAACAATCATGCTGTGGTCTAAATGGTGCCACTATTATTATCCCCATTTTATAGATGATGAATCTGAGGCTCAAAGTGGAGAAGGGTATTTACTGACCATGTTACACACTGACTGTCACAGACAAGACGATGAAACCTGTTATTAACAGGTTCCTGCTAGTTAATAAATCTTTAGAGAACTGGAACTCTTCACCCTTTTCTGGTCTTATAGATTTGAGGCAAGGTCATCATTTGGAAGTATTGCTGACTCGGGAACAGTGGACAGTTCTAGTCCTCTAGCACATTTGTGGAGTGGGACAGAATCTAAGGACTTGCAGGCTTGGCTAGTGGAGTACAAGCTCTGGCAGCTGAAAAGTCTTCAGGTATGGGCTGAACAATGGACCACCTGTCTCTTACCAAGAGGCTCAGCCTTGCTGAGTCTGGTCAGCCACCAAGTGATGAAGTTTTTGGCCATATCAACTCATAAAAACTGAGGAGTGAAGAGGATACGATTTGTGGCAGTGGAAGAATAGTTATAGGGATGAAATCACAGACCTTCTGAAAGATTAAAGTGGTAATGTCAGCACACTATTTAAGGAAGTAGGTATATAATAACTCTTTTAAAGGTTTCAATGAAAACTAGTTAAAAGGAGAAACATTTTTTGTCTTCAAAAGGGTTAATTTCAGTTGCATGGAAGACTTATTGATATGGCACTCTTCTTTCTTAAATAATATTAGACAATAAGGCACTACTGTAAGCACACCATTTAATTTTTTAATTAATATTTTAAATTTAATTTTTAAAAAAGTAATATTTAATTTAAAAAATCTGATCTAATTATAGAATTACAGTAGAGATGTAACTGGAGTTGGGATGATGGGGCTCTTCCCAGGGCATTAAATTTTAGAGGTTGCCAACAATATCTGCATTCCTTTATCAGACTGAAACAAGTTATTAAACTTAATCAGCAAGAATAATTAACCATTCCAGGTGAGTCCAACCTGGCCAGGATCACCCCTACTTTCTCTCCAACAAACAAGGGCCTTCTAGTAACATAAGGTCTATCTCCACTCTCAAGGGAAGGGTCTCCCCTACAATGGAACCTTGGGTTCCTAGGTCCAAGGTCTCTTACCAATACTTTTGATTTTGTCACTGTGGCAGGAGCAAAATGGCTAATTACAGCTCTAATAAAGTTAGGGAGAAGATCAAAATTGACCCAATACCATTTTCTTTTTGTTGCTACTGTTGTTTTTTGGGTATTTTTGTTTGTGAGGCAACTAGGATTAAGTGACTTGCCTAGAGTCACATGGCTAGTAAGTGTCAAGTGTCTGCTCTGAGACCGGATTTCAACTCAGGTCCTTCTGACTCCAGCGCTGGTGCTCTATCCACTGCACCACCTAGCTGCCCCTATCATTTTCTTATTGATTCTATTTATGGTCAATTGATTTTGTCCTGTAACTGCTTAAGTCATGGTTCTTTGCCTCTGAACTTAGTTCAGAATTCAAATGGCCTATAATGGGTTAAGTTTAGTTCTTTTGCCAATCACTGTTCTATTCTTGCCTCAAGGAATTCTGCTAGCCTTTGGGGATGTGGCTTGCCACAAGGGAGTTAGGCCTAATATCTTTACACCACCAAGTTATCCTTCAAGGACATCTGGTTTTCTATCCAAAGAAGTCTGGGCCACCATCTTACAGGTGGACTCAAACTATGAATATTTCCTAGTTACAGGAGGGAAGCAGGGGGCTGTTGCTATCACCTCATTTCCAACTAATCATATTGTTCCTCACACCTCAGTTCCGTAACCAATGTGTTGTCCTCAACCCCATGATGTCACCCACCCTGCTCTGTTCTTTGTTCTATGCTCCCCAAAACCTCTAAAAAGTGAACTCTCCTTTTGCTCAGGGTCTTCGGCTGGAAAGGGAAGCAGCTATTGACTCATCTTACTCTCAGGTTTTATGTCCTGTGGAAAAAATGCTATCTTGCTTGGAGAAACATGCCACGGTCTACCTTTTTGTTAAATTTTACTCACAATATTAGCTATCTTTAGGCTATGGTCATAAGAACTCACATCCATATAACACTTTTCAGTTTGTAAAACACCTTGAGACATCATTTCACGTGATTTAACTCTCTTAACAAGGCTGTGAGGTAGGTAGAGCAATTACAATTATTTGCATATTGTGGCAAACTACTGAGCAAACTACAACTCAGAGAGGTATCATCCTGACTCCCAGTGAAGTAGAAGCAGCACCGTAAATAGTGCACAGGACCTGGAGTTTAGAAGGCCTGGGTTCGAAATATGCTTCATGACGGGCAAGTCATTTAACCTTTTCCAGCCTCAGTTTCCTCAGATGTAAAATGGGCATAAAAACAACCAGCTTTAGACACAGAGTTGTGAAAACCAAATGAGATAATCTATGTAAAGCACTATGCAGATCTAAAAGAAGCATATTTCCACTAATCATACTGCTTAGTCAAGGCATTCGGAATAGATGAATGGAAACTAAATTATTCTCTATAGAGGGATTTCTACACTAAATTTCTGGGAGTTCCATTTCCCCGGCACATGTAACTGCTTGGCAGTTATTTGACTAAACAGTATCTGCAGCCTGGGCCTAGTGATCTCTGAAATCCAGAACTATGGCACCTGGCTTTCATCCTTGACTTCCCGTCCCATCCAGTCTGGAGGTCGGCACTCCCTCCACAGAACATTCTGAGACATGATTTTAACTCCAGTCTTGTGTTTCTATCTTCACCATCAGTGCTGTTCATCCCGTTCCCTTCCTGACCCAAGATTACTTAAAAAGTAACAGGAAACAGTGGGTGAAGGAGAAAGAGAGTAAGAGGAAATGCTCCATAGTTCTCAGCTTAAAGCACTGAGCACAGTAAGATGCAAAGTAAATCTGAACTGTAAGGATGCTCCAATGGAAAAAAAAAATCTAAGCTATGGACCAGCCCTTTCTTAGCTGAATTTCTTCTTTTTCGGGAGGGAATAGTGCTAAGAAAGAATGGATTACACTTACCTTTCCATACTTCTGGGCATAGGATCCTGTGAGAAGAGAATGGAAGATGATGATGGTTTCATCCAAGTCCCAGAGAAAGACCCGCTGGGCAAAGAAATCAGGAAAGATAAGAGCAAACACATAAGGTTACAATTTGGGGACATCTAGAATTTTAGACCAAAAAGCGCCCCTTGAGAATCATCTACTGACAATTGGAACTCTTGATGAGAGGCAACATGGTGCAGCGGAGAGAATTCAGGACTTGGGAGTCAAGAAGACTGTGGGACCCTAGGCAAGTCACAGAACCTCTCAGGGCTTCAGTTCTCTCCTCTGTAAAATGACAGGTTTGAGGCAGCTAGGTGGCACAGTGGATAGAGCACCGGCCCTGAAGTCAGGAGGACCTGAGTTCAAATCTAGCCTCAGACCAAACACTTGACACTCACTAGCCATGTGACCCTGGGCAAGTCACTTAACCCCAATTGCCTAAAAATAAAAAAAATAAAATGATGGGGTTGGACTTGATGGGCTCTCACTCTAGGATGTCATGGTCCTGTGAATCCTTGGCTAGCAGCCTTTGTACTCCATCATTTGGCACCCTCCCTGAAGTGTCATACACGCTTCTCTTATTGATGGAACCAAATTCTGCAGGAACCAAGTCAGGAGAGGAGAGCCTCTACATCTGATGTTTCAGAGCTTACCACCATCACTGTATTTCTAGAAAATTCTAGAACATTTATCGCCATGGAATAGGCAAATGAAAACCATATTAACAAACAGTAGCCCCAAAGATACAGGCTCAAGACAACCTGATCCACTCATTCTGGCTAAAACTCTCCACAGGAGAGGGTGTGGATAAGCACCACAAAGCAGCCTCTGATCCCCTCCAGTTTTATAATCCAGTGATCACTCCACAGACACTCCACTGCCCACAACTGGACAGTTTATGTCAGTTATTGGCTCTGGGCTCATTTGTCAGATGGTCAAAGATAAAAATGCAACAAGCTCTGTTTGGAAAATCCATTTTGGATTCAGGTAAGACTTTGCTTCTTCCCTAAGAAGGCACATGGGCATCTCTGAAACTCAACTTAAATGTCACCTCCTGCACGAAGCCTTCCCTAATGCTCTTCTCTAGCCAGTACTTTCCTTCCTAGCAGAATTCATACGGCACTCAGCTCTGCATCTCTCTTATATCCTTATGTATTAATTTGTTTTCTCTTCTCTACTATATTTCATCACTCTATGAGCTCTACCAGTGCTACTTAAGCCTCCTAATTTCCCACCCAGCATTTAATATTGAACTGTGATTTGGACTCGAGTTATCCCCTGATCTCCAGGCTCTGCTTAGCCCGATTAAGTACTCAAACACACGCAGAAGAGTCACACACACGCACACTCTCTCTCTCAGCTCACTGTCCGGGTGATGACAGTGAGCAGTGAAGAACACTACAGAGGAGGCACAGAGCAGGAGGTTTACACACTTCCAGCTCACTGTCCGGGGCAGGTGTGGCATCAGCTCTCCTCTTGCCCCGGTTCTTGGCAGGCGTATTTTTCCTAGACTGCTCTTCGGGGTCCTTACTTGGCGTACCCCGGGACAGAGACGGGCTGGAAGAAGGGTCTCCTACAACAGAAACAGAGACATGCAGCAACCTGAACTCAAAGGTGTCAGCAACAGAGTTGGGAGAGTCTGTCCCTAAGAGGCCAAGATAGGTGCCAGGAAAGGTGACTCTAAGATGGGTATGACACCTCACTATCTTCAGAGAAATGGAAATTAAAACAAGCTAGGGGTGCCACTGCATGACCATCACACTAGCAAAAGTGACTCGAAGTGACCCCAATCAGTGCTGGGGGGAGTGTTGAGAAAAAGGAACATTTCCACATGTCAAACAGAGCTGCAAGTTGGCAGAATGCTCTGGAAGACCACCTAGCAGTTCAAAGTAAGAAACCAAACCCCACCCCAAACCTTAGGACCCAACACTCTCTGTACTGGAGCACACACTCAGAGTGTCATAATGAATTCAGTTTAACTAGAGAGACATTCACTGAAGGAGTGAATAGCATTTAGCAAGTACTAAGTGCTGGGGGACATACAAAAGCAAGACAGGTTTTTCCCTCAAGTAGCATGCCATCTAAGGGGGAAAATCTTATGGTCAAGTCAAAAATATAACTAGAAGCATTGTCTGTAATTGCAGAAAACTGGCAACAACCTATATGTCCAACAGATGGCGAATGACTGAAAAAATTATTGTATGTTAATGAAATGAAAATAAGAGGATATGAGGAATTTAAAGATTTGTCTGAAGCAATGTGAAGGCAAGAAAACAACCAGAACAGGAGATACACTAAGATTATGAAAAAAATCTATCTCCATCTATACAACAAAGATAGCAATGAAGGAACAGAAGAAATAAAAGTATATCAAAAGAATCCCTAAGAAGCTGTTAAGGACTTATTGTATGGAAAACATTATTTTTATGTGCAAATAGCTATAAATGCATGTTTATTTGGTCACTGTTTCCTTCAACTGCATAAACATATAGGTTCCCCCCCCATTTTATCTAAATTTTTTTTCTTCTTTCACTTAACAGAATTTTATTTTTTCCATTTACATGTAAAGATAGTTTTCAACATTCACTTTTATAAGATTTTAAACTCCAAATTTTTTTCTCCCTCTCTCCCTCCCTTTCCTCCTCAAAAAGGCAAGCAATCAGATATAGGTTATACATGTACAATCAAACAGATATATAGTTTTAATAATATATTCACTAAAGGAGATAGAAATCTGATGCTACCATATGTATGATTCTGTGATAAATAGGCTTTAGCGAAATGATTAGGATTTGATTATTAGGTGTGATCACCATTTCGCACATCATACTATTCTTGCTCAAATTCTTCCAGTCATGACTTCTGCCTGCAGAAGAACATCTTAAATCCTATGTTTGGCATCCAAGATCCTTGACAATCTGGCTTCCATCTACACCCCCCTACTCCCCATTACAAACCCAAATGGGCCTATTCACAGACTTCTTGCTATGCCCTGGCATCATTTCTGCCTCACCCCAATGCTCTACCCACTCCTGCCCCTGAAAGTCTGCTTATTTAAGTCCCACCCTTTCCTTAGCGGGGCACAGAGCCCTCTCTTTTCTCCTTTCCAGCAGCATTTGTTATCTGTACTGCTCCCTGGATGCCTGGCACCACCTCACAAGGTTTTTCATACCATGCTCTGTGTAGCCTGTGAACCTGTTTCACACCTCTGGTACCCTTGCCACTCAGCCCAGTTTATGTGGTTTGACATGCTGACAATATGAGAATACTAACTGGTTAGTATGGAAGGCAGCATGGCACTGTGGAAACGGTGTTGAGTTTGGGGTCAAAGGCTTTGGGTTCAAATCCTGTCTTTGTCACTTATTGCTTGGTTGTCTATGGGCCTCAGTTTCTGAATCTGTAAAATCAGAGAGTTGGCAAAATGATATCTAAGGTCCCTTCCAGTCCTAGAGCACTTGTTTGCAAAGGATCCAAAACAGTTGGGGCTTACATTCATCTGGTCCTCCTGGATCACTGACTCACAAAGGAGAAAGATGACACTCCAATGTACCTCATCCAAGGAAGAAAATCAACCTATGACATTGACTTAGCACTGGATAAATAAAAGGTCCCCACAATTATTAGGCAATACCTGTTAAAAGGAGTGACCTCAAGTGACATGTTCAGAGTGACAAGGCTTACTCACCAGAGGAAAGTCTCTGTACTGCTGGGGCAGGCACCATGACAGTGGGCTTCTCGGTCTGGTACGTGGATGCTGCTAACGTGGAGCTCTCAGTGTCACTGTTGCTTTGGCCTGTGACCCCAAAGCTGGAGCTGGGGTAGCATGCCTGGTACTGACTCTGGCCAAGGATGGTGTATGTAGGATAGTCCTGGAGACCAGAAAAGGGAATTAGGAAGGGACAGACAACATTTACTTCAGGACCTCCATTTTAAAATGATATCCTCCAGAGGAACCGTGTGTTTAAGTAGTATGTGAAATGTAGCTTTAATAACGCCAGTTACTGTGGGAATACTCACCCTAGGTGTTTTCTACAATTCCATAGACACTTCTGTCAGTGTCAAATAAACAGTTATGTGGCTAACAGACAAGAGAGCAAACATTTACTGAACTATTAACAACAAAGCACTGGGCAAGGGATGTGGGGCAGGGGTACAGTCACATATAAGACACAAGCGCCCCCTTATCCCCTCCAGATTGGATCATACAGAGAAGAAAGTGAGTAAGACATGGCAATACATAAACAGTAAGGGCCATCAGAACGTTGCATAGAAGGGAAAATATCACGGTAGGTTGGAATGATCTAGGAAGGCTTCAGACAGGAAACAACCTTGAACTGGGCCCTGAGAGATGAGGAAGGTGGGATGTACAGAGAGGAGGATGTGGGGCAGGACCACCAGCAAATGTGTAGACCCAGAAACTGAAGAGGAATGCTCACTTGACTCCCTTCTGGAAAGTGAGCAGATAAGGCCAGGGCCCAGAAGGGGCTGGGAGAGTTGGCTGGCGGCTGGCCTGTGGGAGGCCTTTAATGCTTGAGGGGTCTGGGCCTGATTCTGTAGGCATTAAGGGAGAGATACAATGAAAGCAGCACTTTCAGAAGATTCACCTAACTGGTATGTGTAGGAATGATCAGGAGAGGGACAGAGAATAGATGAAGACACTGAGGCCCAGAGGGGTTCAGCGACTTGCTTAGGGTCCCACAACTAGCACAAGCCTGAGGGGGGCATCTGCACCAATGTCTTTCTAAATTCTGGCCCAGAAATCTCCTCATTATGTACGACATGCTGCAGGTACTCAATTCAATCAGGGTCAGGTAGAGGCATCAGAAGTGGAAGAGGACACGAAGAGCACAAAAGCACTGCTGAGCGACCACTGAGAAGACTTGTAGATGAATAGGTCTTAGGCACAGATCTGAGAGGAGTCAAGGAGAACTTGTTTGGGACACGGGCAAGTCAGAGAATAATAGGGCAAGAGAGAGATACGGCGGTTGGTTTAGGAGACACTGATTTGAAGTGCTGGCAGGTCATTACAGTGAAGACAACCCTGGTCCCCTGGCCGTTTCTTTACTCTGGGCAGGTGTTTTCACTGGCTGGAATGCATTTTCCTCCTCACCTCTGCCTCCCGACTTTCTTTACATCTCAGCTGAAATGCTACCTTCTACAGGAAGCCTTTTCTGATCCCCTTAATGCTAGTGCCTTCCCTCTGTTCATTATCTCCAACTGTTCCTTCAGGGAGTGTGTCTGTTCATAGCTGTTTACATGGTGCATCCCCCATTAGACTGTGAGATCTGGGGAGCAGGGGCTGTCTGTGATCTTTCTCTGTATCCTCAGTCCTTAACACAAGGCTAGCACAGAGAAGGAGCTTAATAAATGTTTACTGACTAACTGGTAAAAATGTGGGACTAGAGGCTGGGAGAGAGGTAAAGGCTAGAGATATGGGGAAAGGGGACGGGTGTCTTCTATACAGAAGACAGAGTTGTAGTTGCAAAGGTAGATAAAACCTTTCCTGATCTCCTTCTTCCACTGCTAAGGCCTGCTTTATTTTGCATCCATTCTACATGTAATTATATATGTACATGTTGTCTTCCTTGACAGAACAGAAGCTCCCTGAGAGCACCGTTTCATATTTGCCTTTGAATCCCAAAGACCTGGTATCTACAAGAACACAGGAGTGCAGGGGTCTAAGAACTGAAGCTCTAAGATTAAGAGTCTAAGAAGGGGATGAGGAACCAGTAATAGGAAAAAGGTACATTCAAAAAGGCAGGAAAAGAACAAGGGTGGAATAGGTCATATACATCGAGAGAGGCATTTCAAGACAGACTAGGCAGCACTGGATGGACGGGGTCAATAGCATCAAATGCTGCAGAGAAGGCAAGAAGAGTAAGGACTGAGATCACTGTTAACTTCTGAGAGAATAATCTCAGTAGACTGGTGGGGATTAAGGCAGGTTTGGGTAGTAGCAATGGTGACTACAGAGCAACATGCTAAGTCTGGCTGTAAAGGAAGGAGATATAAAGGAGGCAGCTCTGTGAGGGTGGATGAGCAAGGAGGGGACAGCAGGGCCTTGGAGCTGTTGACAATTAGGGACGCTCTCCATAGCTACACAACTACAGGTATTTGGGTGGGGGGCAGGGGGAGGGTGTCTCCAAGATTTGGGGCTGGGAGTGGGAATAAGTATAAATCCGAAGGCAGAAAGGAAAGAACGAGTGGAGAAGAAAGGTACCCTGGATTAGTGAATAGGAATGGAGATAACCAATTACCTGGTTTGAGATGCTGGCAACTGCTGATGCTGGAATATTGGCAATTGTGGATGAAGAGGAGATCAGGCTGGCATTGGTACTTGAAGCTGCAAGATTCAGAGTGTCAAAAGATATTAGCATATGATTATGCAGCTTTGAAAGGCCAGAAGAGGCTGCAATGCATTAAGTGTGTAGGGCAACAGGGAGCAGGCTACACACTTTGGCAAAAGAAGGCTGCAGTAGGTTCAACACTATCAGGATCAAAGGCAGGTAAGCTTTGTTTCTGTACTCTGCTCCCCAAACCAGACCAGACTTCTGATTATAAACAGAAGACCCCTAACCTGTCCCTGGCTCAGGAAGCTCACTACTTAAAACTCAAGCTCCATGGCAGCACACACAATGTATATTCATGGAAACAATGGCACAAGTTAAACACACATGTAACCCAATCACTTCAGCCCATCATCTCTGGCTGAGGGAGAATGATTACCTGTAATACGACCTGCTGAGGGAAGCCAAAAGAAACTCAGAAAAATCTCTGTGATAAATCCACGTGTAAGAGCTGTTTGGTTCCACAGTCCCCAAATCCCAGAGTGAAATAATCACTGTGGATAGGACATTGTCCTTCTACGACACAATATCTTCCTGTATGTAATAGGCCCTTGACAAATCTCGGTTGGAATAACTTGAAATAACAGCTTAACCTTGATTATTGGAATCTATTTAGTTTAACAAACAATAAAAGAAATGAATAAATGAATGAAAAGCCATTTAATTGGTGCTTACTATGGGCTGGGCAAAGTGATAAGCGAGGAATATAATACAGATAACAACAGGAGAATACAGTATGAAAACCAAGTCAGTCCCTGTCCACAAGGAGCTTACATTCCAACAGAAGAAAACACAAATGGGGGAGTTGTGATGGAGGAGGGGTGTTTTGGTCTCTTTAGTCACAGGACTGGTGAATGGAGTCACTGGACAATGGACTGACCCAGGAATAGTACTGCTAATTTGTTTACTGTTCCTAGCCCAGGACAGGAGAGGGGAGGCATGGAGGCAAAATGGCTGGAGTGCAATGGGGCAGATCTGAGGTGGGCTAAATGTTTTATTCTCACCAAGCATGACTCTGGAGTGAGAGCTCGAAAGAAGGCAACACCTACCCTGACCTGGTGTGAAGGAACTTGCCAATAAACCCAGAGAAATGCAAAAAGGATGACTTTTCTGGTCCCAAGAGGGATGGTCTACAAGTTGCTGAGGCATGCTGACATATGCCAGGAAGTTCTCTTCACTGTCCACACTACTGCATGAATCAAACCCCACAAAGTCCTTTGGCTTGGGAATTAACTAAAGGGTCTCCAGAGATCTCAGCACAGCTCTATGGGTAAATGTCAAAAAAAGGCTAGAGTTTACCTTCACGGTGCTTCCCAGGTTATGACTCCAGGACCTTAGAGATGCTAACTTCTACCTATTCTCCCTCTTTTTCATAAAAGCATCACAATAGGTCCCAGCTCAGACATGTTACACACACCAAAAAGCTTCATCACCAAGAAAATTAAAGTAGTTGAGGCCCACTTTTTGATAAGCCATGGAACAATGCAGAAGTATCAAGCCTAAAGAAAAATTTCAAAAAACAACAGGGCAGATGAAGAGGTGACAAAAACCTCAGTCATTCAAAAGGAAGAATGATAAACGTCCAATTCTATCCCTCAGGCGTCCTACAAAGAAGGCAACAAGATTACCTGAATGTTTAAGTGAACTGAATGTGAACAAGATTATACAGTAAGACATGTTAGTAAGATTGGATAGTAACACCCACAGTTTACTAAGAAAATGAGGCACAAAGAATGTGACTTGCTAAAGGTCACATAATGAAGTCACTCTCATCATGAGCTTCTCACAGTGCTGAGGACTAGGGGGTCTAGACCTGATAACCATCAGCTCCCAGAACCCTTTCGCTGACATTTTTTGTTTAGTTGTTTTTTCAGTTGTATCTGACTCTGTGAACCTTTTGGGGGTTTTCTTCAAAAAGACACTGGAATTTGCCATTTCCTCTCCAGGTCATTTTACAGATGAGGAAACTGAGGCAAACAGGTTTAAGTGACTTGCCCAGGGTCACACAGCTAGTGCCTGAGGGTAGATTTGAACTTAGGGAGATGAGTCTTCCTGACACATTATTCACTGAGCCACCTAGCTGCCCATGAGACCTTTACTGACACAAAAGACCTTAATCACCTAAATAACCTATATATAAGATAAAGAAGTAGCCCAGGACCTTAGAGACCATCCAGTCCAACACCCTCATTTTATTTTATTTTTTAAAAACATGCCTGAATGTATTTAGGAAGGAGGAACCTTCAGAGGCAGCACCATTCTATTTTTGTTTTTTGTTGCTGTTTAGTCAATTCCAACTCTCTGTGATTCCATTTGGGGTTTTCTTGGCAAAGATACTGAAGTGGTGTGCCATTTCCTTCTCCAGCTCATTTTACAGATGAAGAAATTGAGGCAAAAAGGTTATGTGACTTTCCCAGGGTCTCACACCTAGTAAGTGTCTGAGGCTAAATTTGAACTCAGGTCCTCTATAGGTAACTGTAAACGCTAGGAAGTTTTTCCTTACATTAAAATCCGATCTGCCTCTCTACAACTTTACCTTTTGCTTCTAGATCTTCTCTCAGAGTCAAGAAAAACAAGTGTAATCTCCCCCCCCCACCATACTATCACCGTCCCCCCACCTCAAATCCTCTCTTCTACAGACTAAACTTTCTCAGTTCTTCCAACCTCTCCTCACAGGATATGGTCTCCTGGTTTGGGACGCCTGCTTAATACCGCCTCTATTTCTTCCTTCTATCCAGGCTATCTGCAGCACAGTGCCATGACAAAGAGCTTGTTTCTCCCTGCAGTGATCTTCATCCAAATGCTCTCAGTTGTGCTTCCCTGCTTTGGTTACTGGGACCCACTACAGGCCAAAATTCTGCATGGACATACTATACGGCTGTGGGTCCAACCATATACCTCTTAAATTAGTATGGCTTTTCTTTTCCTTATAAATGGAAACAAACCATCTAATACCTTCCTTCAAAGTGGCTTCATGTCTCCTTGTGCCTTGACTATAGCATCTCAACCAAGATGATCCCTATTAAGGGCCTAATTAGAGCTTTTCTGCTTCCTGGCTGCATGAGAATGGGGAAGCAAGAACACAAAAGGGAATCAAGCAAGGAAGGGCCACTCCCCTGGCCTGCCTATCCTCATCTACTCCGTGATTTACAGGCCAGTGAACTCAACCTGGGGAATAGAAAGGACACAGGAAAACTCCATGTATCTTGACAGGCACTCATGTTTTTTATTTCTGTTCCACAGTTAACTGATAAGCTAAGTGGAGATTAGGCCAGGTATTCAGCTTATTAATGAGACTGCCTTGTAGGTTAGAAAGAGTTTCTGGGGGCAGCTAGGTGGCACAGTGGATAGAGCTCCTGCCTTGAAGTCAGAAGGACCTGAGTTCAAATCCAGTCTCAGACATTTGACACTTACTAGCTGGATGACCCTAGGCAAGCCACTTAACCCTGACTGCCTCACCAGAAAGGAAAAAAAAAAAAGAGTTTCTGGCTACAACACGGCGGAGATGACTTCTGTCTTACAAAATACAGGTGCCTGCTAGGAAGTGAGTGCTATTCAATGACTCTTCTACGCACAGAATAATGGAATTTTGGAATTGAAAGGGACAAACAGTATTGTGGAAGGGGCACTAATGCTGGGATCAGAGGATATGGATTTGAATCTAGATTCTGTTATTTACTGGGCAAGTCATTTCATCTCATCTGCAGAACAAAGGGTTTCAATGAGATAATGTATAAAATTCCTCCCAGCTCTGGGTCAATGATCCTTGGATCTCGTGAGTTATGAAAAAGGAACACAGAAGCTTATTTTTAATTTTCTAGATTAGGAAACTGAAGTGCAGAGAGTGGAAGTGAAATTACCTGAGCCTCTTGGCAGAGCTGGGATATGAGCAACATCAGCAATCAAACAAATACATGAAAAAAAATTTAACCTCAATAACTACATTCCATACTCTCAACGTCACCACTAAGCAGCCATGTTTTCCCAAAATATTCTGCTAGCCATCCTGAAAATTAAAGAGGTGGTGGGTTAAGAATGGGAGGAATTCTAAATGGGGAGTCATGACCGTAACAGAACACTCTCCAGTGCTGGCTATACAGAGATGAGTGGAACTTTGGAGAAGTGAGGGACACCTTATTTCTCCAAGTGGGAGTCCCCACGGTAACAGGCAACAATTCCCGACTAGCTGATTTCACTGGACAGAGACAACAACTTAGGTTTAATCAACAACCACATTCCATAAAATCCTGAGTCTTATCCCAGTGAAAGAAGTGATTCCTCAGTGAAAAAAGAAATCCCCGGAATGCTTGGTCACACCAGACGACAGAAAAGACAGTTGAATCACTCATTTCCTACAAATGGCTTGGCCAGGGGACTCCCTCGGTTATAAGAACATACAACAAAGGAGTAGAGGGAAAAGCTGAGTGGAATGTTCAGGGCATCCCTAAGGACAGGAAAAGTTACTATACCCCAAGGGTTAACTTCAGGAGCAAGAAGCAACAGTCTTCGATGTATGGGGTTCAGAGAGATAGATGCCAATTCCCTCTGGCAAAGCAGGAATGCAAAGACTCAAAGGGGCCCCAAAACAGAATCAATCAACAAGCATGTAGTAATCACATACTCTGTGTCAGACACTGTACTAGGGTGCTGGAGATGCAATGACAAAAAGGAAACAGTCCCCTTCTTCAAGAAACTTATTATCCCACTAGGGGAGACGACTAGTATATGCAAAATAAGTACATGGCATTTTTGGAGGGAAGGTTTGGGTAGCTGGAGAGAGGAATGAGATCAGGAAAGGTCTCATGTGGCTGAACGTTGGTGACTGAGTTGAGTTTTGAAGGAAATCAAAGATGTCAAGAGGTGACAGTGAGGAGGGAGGGCATTCTAAACCTTGGGAACAGACAGCCTGTGCAAAGGCGACTAAGACAGAAGACAGAGTGTTGTATGTGAAGGGCAGCAAGTAGACCAGGGTATAAGATGAGGAAAAATGCATAACACGATCGGACTGGAGAAAAAGGGTGGGACCAGACTAGGGTGGGCTTTAAAAGGCAAACAGAGAAGAAGACCAAGCAGCAGTAGTCAACTACTGGAGAACAAGGTGTGTGTGCGTGTGTGTGTGTGTGCGTGCACGAGCAATGAATCACTTCAGTGGCTGTGCAGAGGATGAATCAGAGCACCAGCCTGATGTAACTGGTAAGTTCTGCTGCACAGGACTAATTCAATTCCTGCTAATTCGGGGCAAACTAGGGATGTTAGAAATGAAGTGTATTTTGTACAAAACTGGAAAAGGCCAAATTAATATTCTGTTCAATCTCTCAACTTAAAATCTTCCAATCGTAAAGAGAACAATTCATCACCAACATATGCCTCTCCTTACTTCAGCGATGTGTTATTTCTTTGGAAGGGGGTACTTCTTCCCCAGTGGAGATCACTATCCATCTAACCACTTGGGTTAACTGTCAGAGATGTGGCCAAAAACCACAATTAATCACCCTGTAGCCAATATGACGATGAACCCCTTCTAACTTAGTTAAGTTAATCCTCAAATGACAGATGGTCTTTGTCATATCCCATGGTCTGCTACTAATTTTACAATCCTTTTTATTTCCTTTGTCTTCTGCCTTAATAAATCTGATGGAGTTTTTTTATCCTTTCTTTTCATTTTTTTTTCTTTAAGATATTATTAAGATAAACCAGGGTAGTGAAGAAATGAAGCATAAAACGGATAAAATTTCTTCGGCATCAGAGCAAAAAGTTTCATTGTACTGGGGCTCAACATATTTGTTTTAGATCTAGGAGCTAGCTCCCTAATTTAAGAGCTACATGAATTTTTCAGGTTGCAAAATAAAAATAAACATTAAGTGGGTGAGAGAAGAAGGCATAGTAGGTTCTTAACTCACTGTTCAGCACCAATCAGCATCCTCAAAGTACTATTAAATAGAGGACCTCGGGAAAGATCCTCTCCTCCAAGGGGCTCTCGATTAGCCTTCTCTAATTTCCTGGCCACTCTTCCTTCTCCCCTCAAGCCAAGGGAGCCAAGTCAAAGCCTGAGCTGACCTGTGCCCCTCCTACAAGGCCAAGGCCAAGTGTTGCAGCGGACTTCCTTTAGTCCTGAAGATGATAAAACATGAACACGGAGGAGCAACCTGGAGGAGAGTGATCTGTTGAGAGTCTGTGGTAAACCTGTCCTGAAACCACCAGGCCCTCTGATGACATTCTCACGCAAATCCTGGTGCCTGGAATTCACCTAGTCTTCATCCAATACAACTCCTTCACTTTACACGTGACATCACCAAGGCCAAGGGAGGTTAAGGATGTTTGTCAGAAACACAAAGATAGTGAATGGCTGAGCTGGGACCTAATGTACCATGTTCTCCTGCTATACCGGGCTGCAACTATCCTCTCACTGGAATGTGGGCACAAAGCAATGAGTGGGACGAGTATGATGGTAGTGATTATAAACAGTGTGCCAGAACCAGCTCACCCTGGCTGGCAAGAGCCTCTGTTAAATTTTCAATTAGAGCATTTACATTTCAGAAACTGGCAAATACTACAAATCAGGGAATGTTAATAATGCAGATTGAACTTAAAGTTTGTTGTGCATACAACATCCCCATCCCCCCCACCCCCACCCTAGGGAGACAGTTGTTAAAATATATACCAGCCCAATCCTGGTTATAAACCACAAAACATTCCACACCTCCTGTCTCCCCAGGGAAACCTTTCACACCAACAACCTCACCAAGTTCCAGATCACAAAGTCCACTCTACACACTAGCTTGCAGCACTGCTAAGACCCTGTTTTTTGTCTTTCTACGCACTGACATGCACACTAGCATGCTTTTAGCTCTACTGTGGCAGCTCACAAGCCCAAAAGCAGGATGCATGATACAACTGACATTCCAAGAGCTCAGCTACAGTGCTATTTGGATAGGTAGGCCCTGGGGTCTGCCTTGGCTCACCAAACAGTAAGAGCATGCACAAATTCACATTGCACCCTTTCTGCTTAGGGACGTAGAGCTTCCCCAACCATCTGGAGAAATATGTAGACGTAAAAAACAAAACAAAACAAAAACAACAAAACCATGCCTCTTTACCTTGAATGGGATAAGAGTAATGTGCTGGGCTTGGCTGGCCTGTGGTTAGCCCTGTAGTGCAGGTAAGAACACTGTGTTGACTTGGAGCTGGAGTCTGAATTAAACCACTTTCAGGTTTCATACCTGGCCACAATGCACCTGGATCAGATAAATTGGACCAATTACAAATAAGATACCAGGACCAAAGGCAGGTTTGTTGCCTGAAAACGTCAGCCAGTTGGTCTATGTCATAGAACAGAATTAAAGCTGCTTGTTAAGAGAAAATTGTTTTGATCCTCCTAAAGTTAATTATATTCAACTAACAAATACAGGTACACAGTATCAGAATTCCGCAACAAAGAACACAGACAAGATATTATCTTGCTGAAGCCAACAGCCTTAAAGCTACATAGGCTCATTTCAACTCTCTGGGGAAATTCACTAGTGTTCAAAGAGGAAGTGAAGGCCAAGATGGCACCTAGTTCCATGGTCCAGAGAGGCTGTTAGGCCCTAATTATTTTGGACTTCATTGTGCAGAATGTTTCAATCTCAGTTACCAAGGATACCTCATTTACTGGTCACTGCCCAAGGGGATCCACATAAGTGTCAAGTTTCTATTAAAATCACTTACCCCTTTGAGCAAATTTAACAACCTATCTTTTACCCTCGGGTGTGGAGATCATTCTAAAATATATCATATACATCCCTGTGCCTTCTGAAAAAGTACCTTGAACAGAATTAAGCCCCTTCCAGCATACCCAGCACAAACAATGACTGCCCTGTAATAAAGCAATAGTCTCAGGGGTTGCTACATGTGTAGATATGCCTGCCCTTCCACTCCACAGCTCCAGTCTTGTGCGTTTTACATTTGTGTATCTGCTCCTTTCATCTTTTCACTTGCAACAGCTATTACTTCTTAATGTGGCCAGCAGCCCCACTCCCCAGCGTAATCCTCCGAAGCCTCAATAAGACATGCAGGTAACCCTGGAGTCTCAAAGACTGGGTCAGCGGAGCATAAGCTCCTACCAAGCTGGAAAGGCTTTGAGTACTGGGGTAGCAATGACTGTATCTTTGTGGCCTCAGGAATGGCTCAACCCAGAGAGTTTCCAAAGGGTTCTCACCCCAAAGAGGGTTATCAGTTATGGTCACAGAAACCCATGGAAGATCACCTCCCAAGGCCTGGAGGCACTATGCTTTGGGTCAAACTGGGGAATGCTAACAGATAAAACCACAGATCATTTGAAATACTGTAGTAATCAGTGGTCTAAGAAACCAGATCAAGAACTGTTTCTTTCAAAAAGGGTAAAAGAGCTGTTAGGGGTCATCACTGGTTCTCCAATTAGCTGCTGGGCATGGACTTTGCAACTACTCTTTCTAGTGCTCACAGGTCTGGATGCTTCTTTCCTAAAATAAATTTTTTTGGATGGTTGAGTTTGCCTGAAAAGTCATTAGTATTCCAAGATGTAGTTCAGAGCAGGTTTGTGAATAAAAACATGTAATCAATGTCAAGGCCATACTAGTGAGGCAGCAAGATGGCACAGTGGATAGAGCACTGAGACTCTTAGACACTTACTAGCTGTGTTTTACTAGCTGGGCAAGTCACTTAACTGCTGTCTGCCTCAGTTTACCCATGTGTAAAATGGGATTAATAACAGCACTCATCTCAAGGGGCTGTTGTGAGAATCAAATGAGATACTTGCAAAGTACTTAAAACCGTGCCTGGCACATAGCAGGCACAATGCTTATTCTCTTCTCTTCCCTTAAACTTCAGCATTAATTTAGTCTACATACCCCTAAACCAAACAGGATTTACTAACAATGGAATAAACTTAATTCTCTGAGTCAGAAGGTTTTACTTAACCTTGGCATCCATTCAGTTGGCCAGACACCTCACTGCTACTTTGGAAAGCTTGTTGTCAGATTTGTTTGATACAACTTTAAGAAGTAAATGAAGCCATGGAATTTCAATGAGGAAAACAATGAAGGCTCAGTAACTGTTGTGTCCAAGTCATGAAGACACCAGCAAGTGATGTCAAATTCTATTCTTCTCTGATGATTCTCTGAGTTGATTTATTTGGGAAGGTTAAGGAAAAGCACCCCAAGGTGGATTAGAAGAGCTTCCCTATAACAACGCAAAGCAATGCTTTTTCTGAAGTATTTCTGGGATACTACAAATCCTCTCTCTGGCCCCACTGTACCCTTTGGTTATTATGACATTCCATTACTTTTTTTTTTTTTTGGTGAAGCCATCGGGGTTAAGTGACTTGCCCAGGGTCACACAGTTAGTAAGTGTCATGTGTCTGAAACCAGATTTGAACTCAGGTCGTCCTGACTTCAAGGCTGGTGCTCTATCCACTGCGTCACCCAACTGCCCCCCATTGCTTCTTATACTTGTCATATTGCTTTCTTTTAATAAGGCTCAACTTCTCAGCAATATTTGTAAGAAGATATTCATATAAAGATCAGAGAATGTTAGAACTTCAAAATCATCTAGAACAATATCCTCATTTTACAGATGAGGAAACCAAGGCTAGAGATGGGACAGTGACTTACATAGTGAAGGGGCCAGAATTGGAATCCAGGTTCTAATTCATGGTCCCATGCACCATGCACTAACACCATGCTGTCCCCAGCAACTTTCTTCTAACTGTCTAAAACTTTATTTTGTACATTCCTTACTAACATGCTAAAAAATTGGGAAATAACCCAGGTAGCCTCAAATCAACGTCTGCAAGCTCCTTGGAAAACCAAAGCTTGTTATAGGTAGCCAATGGGCTCTTAGGCAGCAGCGGTCCTTCCTAACCACCATCTCCCCCCCACCTCCAAACCAGGAAAACACACAAAATGTAATTAACATCACTGAAATAGATCCTTAGTGAAGATTAGTTTAGTTAATAGCTGAAGAGTACTTCAATGCTAAAAAACATGGGGCAAGTGACTTCACTTTGTCTCTGTTGACCCAGAAGATCTTGGAGTGAGCTATTATTTGATTAACAATTAAATTACTTTAAGAAAAAGTAAAATGATGGTAGGCAACTAGTAAGGTCATGAAAAAATATCAAGCCCCCTTTCTTCACAAATCCCTCACATGAAACTGAAAAGTACTGTCCCTTATCTTCTGCTCCCACATATCAGAGGAGACGACATCCTCTCATCTCCTTCAAAAGAGATCACCTAATTACCACTTCTATCTATGAGAGAAGCTTCTCCATTTTAGACCCACCACTGAAAACAGATGACTACTCTTCGTAGTGGTCAATAATAGGGGCATTTCCAAGTACCTCTGACCATTATCCATGTTTCAGACAAGCAGAGTATTTTTTACAGTCCTGTGAATGTCTAGCAAAGAGAGACTGAATTGAGACCAATTTGAAAATGAATCAAAAATAAGTTAGGTATTACTTAGAAGTGTACACATTTTTAAGAACAGGCAAAGGGGGTATCTTTAAAATTACATAAATATCCCCACACAAATTCTCCTATAAATACTACTACAAAAGTCCCACAACAATAAGAAAAGCAGCAGAGACAGAGCACATTTACATAATAATCAAGCTGCAGTTTATACTTGTGAAGACCATTGTGATTTACAAAGGTCTTCCCTTGCAATAGCTCTGTCTGATAGGCAGAAGTTTTACTATCATCCATTTACAGATGAGAAAAGAGAGGCTCAGCAAGATTGGGCCACTTGCTCATCCACGGTCACACAACTGGGAAATCACAGAATCTCAGGAAGGGAGCTCAGAAACCATGGAATCTAAGCAGGACTTGAACAAGAACTGGATCTACAACCTAACTGAAAAGTGGTCATCAGCCACCGCATGAAAATGTCCTGTAAGGGGCCCCCACTGCCTCCAGAAGTAGCCCTTTCCACCATGGTGCAGCTGTGACCGTCAGGGAGTTTTCCTTCCCAAGAAATCTAAGTTTCCTATATTATCACTTGCCCCATTGCCGAGTTTGGAGACAAGTCTGCGCCCCCTTCCACAGAACAGTGCACGAGACACTTGACAGTGGCCATCATGTTCCTTCTAAGTCTTCTCTTATACAGTATGGTCCCAGTTCCCAAACATTACGTTCCCATCAAGAATCTACCCCGAACCTAAACTCAGTCAGTCACCCATTACTTAAAGTCAAACCAGATGAATAATGATAGGATGATATTAGATAGTCCCTAGGCTAGTTTTAGGAAACGTATTATGAAATATCAGTCTTCCTCACTGTTGAAAAGTTCCCCCTCCCCCCATTCAATCTGACCAAAATTAAGGGAGTTCTGATGGTTTCCTTGACAATACAAACAGAGGTTCTCTCTACTTTTTAATTTTCATAAATATAATGAGTGGATCATAAAAAAAAATATTTTAAGAGATGTTATCAATGTGGTTTTAATGCTTTCTTAAATGCTCAACACAAACACAGGCTTCTGGCAAAAACATTAAAAATGATACTCAGAGCTCTACTTCACAAAATTTCCTAATTTTAAAAATAAAGCAAAATTAACGAATCTCTATTAATGTTAATATATTCATATTTAGGTGTCTATATGGTACCATATTGAGAGTGAAGAGTAACAGCTGGCAGCATGAGTGCTTCCCTGGTAACCCAGGGAATGTTGGAAGGCCTCCCGGTACACTGGACAAAGGTTCTATGGAGAGTTAATGGGAGAACATGGACTAGAAAGACACAAGATGAGAAGGTCTGGATGGGCTGGGACTTACATAGTTGCAGGGTCAGGTGGTTAAGTACATGACAAAACATCTGATTCAGGGAATGGGCTGACAACTTGATAGGCTTGGATAACAGACAGTGTAAGCAGGGAATGAGAGGGATTGAAAAAAAAGAAAAACTCTCGAACTCCTTCACCGACCTAGGAAACAATGCCACAATCACTAGGTATATCTCTCACTTTGTTGCTCCTTCAGTCGGCTGCAATGAAGGTGTAACATTGAGTCTGAGGCTGAAAAAAACTGTGCTTTCTACTACTGCCACACAAAAGCCAGTGGCCCTTAAAAAAAAAAATCCAAAGAGTGGAAGCCAAAGGCAGCCACCATTAGTGTAGATTCTTGATGTCTGGTGAATACTAGACAGTCGGCAAAATACAGTTTATCATATTGATTGTTGGCAGGTGGAAATCTTATTTAGCACACTCCAGAAACCTCATTAAAAAAAAAAAAAAAAGAATCAGGGCAGCTTGATGGCACAGTGGATAGAGCACCAGTCCTGCATTCAGAAGGATCTGAGTTCAAATCCAGCCTCAGACACATAACACTTACTAGCTGTGTGACCCTGGGGCAAGTCACTTAACCCCATTGCCTAGCCAAAAAGAAAAAAAGAACCTAGATATAACCTGAGTTGCTATTAACCTTTGGTAAAAGATGGCTTCATTGCTTAAATACAGAATAAATCCACACAAATGTTACTGGCATTATTACCGTTACAGAAAGTTTTTGGCTTTTTTCCCCATTAAGAACACCTTTTGACTTAAGCAGAATAAACATTTGATAAGAGTCAGAAGCAAAGCAGGAAAATGATGTCAAATATAGTACAATATTCACAGAGGGGGCAAGGACTTCAACCTAGTTCCAACAGCAAAGAGTTGATTACTTACCTCCTCACAGAGTATTTATTAAGTCCTCATTGTGGGTGGTGCTATATTCTGTACAAAATAACTTCAAAAGACACATCTAATCCCTCAAGGATCTTACCTAATACTAAGGGATTTTAGCCTGCCTATCTTCCACAGATCTAAAAAATCACAAGTTTTGGCTGATGACTTAGAAATGAGCTTTACAAGGCTCTCAAACAGGATTTCTGAGGTACAGTTTTAAGTCTCGTGCATCACACACACTGCTGATTACTGGGCATCCAGCATGCATGCAGATAAAACAGAGTAGCTGCTCAGCAAAGAACTGACAATGTTCTTCTGACGTTAGCCAAGCCTGATGTTTTAGGAGGGAAGTTTGTAGGATCATCATCAATATTCCCAGGGATCACTTAAATAATATGCCTTACCAAAAGGAGGTAGTCCATAGGTTTGGGTTGCCTGAGGATAGACAGCATAGGGTTGGGACTGCTGAAGTGTCTGGTACTGTGTCTGGCCAGAGTAAGCAGTCTCTGATACAGGGACCGAGAGGATGTGTGCATAAGGTCTAGAAAAATTAAAAACAAAAAAAAGTTGATTACATCAACATTTCAATTCTATATATTTCAAAAAACATTTAAAGAGTATCTACTATGTGTTAAACATTGTATGGGATACAAAGTGCAGATATAGCCCCTAACCCAAAATAGTTTATAATAAGTATGGGAGACAAGACATAGAAACAACTCTGTTACAGGTAGAATGCCATGGTTGCCACAAGTGAGGTACAAATAATGTACTATGTGGGCAGAGAAAATGTATAGATGGCACCTAAATTTGGGGGGAGTCAAGTGGGTAGAGATTATGGATGGCTTAATGGAAGTGATTGCAATTGACCTGGGTCTTGAAAGATGGGTAGAATTTCCCCAAGGAGAAACTAGAAGGGAAGGAGACAAAAGAGTAAGCCAAAGAAAAGCAATACAGTTCTGTAATAGCAGAGAGTGCATGAAAGGAGTTGGTAGATCAATGAACCCCATGCTAAGGAGTGTGGGCTTAAATTGATTGGCAAGAGGAAGCCATGAAGAAACTTAAACATGAAATCACCACAATGATAGTTTTGTTTAGGATGACTGATTTGGCTGTACATAAGGGAAAGATTAGAGGAAGGAAAGGCAAGGGAGTCAGTTATAGGGCTAATGAAATAGTCCAAATGAGAAGTAATGATAATCTAAACTAGAGTAGAAGTAGAAATAAGAAAGGAAAGGAGAGAAAGGAAGAGAACCATTTAGAAGGCAGAATTCATGAAATTTGGTGATATGGGTGTGGAAGGTGCAGAAGTGGACGTGTTAGCAGGGACAAATTCAAGGTTGTGAACCTCAGTGACTGCAAAGTTAATGATATCATCACCACAGACAGGAAGAGGGGAAAGTTGGTGGAGATGAGTTCCATTTTGGATATGTTGAGTTTAAGGTATCAGTAGGACATGCATGTCAAGCTATTCAACAAACAGTTAAGAATGAAAGTCTGAAGCTCAGAGGAAAGGTCAGGGTTAAAGACATAGCAATGTCTTAGAATGTCTTTAGAAGTGAATGTCTTTAGCAATGTCTTTAGAAGTGAATGACTCTGTAGGTACTGATAAGATCACCAAGGGAGAGAATGGTGAGGGAGAAGAAAGTCAAAGGTGAAGTCTTGAGAAACTCTTTGGCAGCAGGAAAAGGATTTAATATAAGAGGATATGAGAAATACACAAATAAAGAGTTAATATCAGTAATAATAAATAACCCCAGAGGGTTTTCTCTATTGCAAAAATATTCACGACCTCTGGCCAAGGTTCCCAAGCAGTAATGTCACAAAATATATACCCTTTCCCTTTTCATATTCTTATTGTTAGATGCCTAAAGAACAAGGGCGTCATGGAAACTAATACCTTCAATTGAGTTCTCAGATAGAAGAGCAACTCTAAATAAAAACACTGCTACCTCTTCAAAAGTTGGAAGTAAATAGTTGGCCTCTTAATGACTGAGAAGACTATAAGCATACTTCCACATTCCAGTTGAGAGAATAATTACAATCCAGAACAAAGGTTCTCAAACTGTGATCCAGGGAACCCTATAGGTCCCCAAGATCTTTTCTGCAAGGTCAAAACTATTTTCATAATAAAACTGGCCATTTAAATATCTAATGTGGTAATAATGGATCTAATCCACATAAACAAAACTGTTGAGGGCGAGGGGAAAGGGTTTCCTCTCAACAATTTTTAAGAGTTTAAAAGGGTCCTGAGACCAAAAAGCTTGAGAACCACTATTCTAGATTGAATTGTAAAGAAGCAGCAATATATACTCATCTGTCTGGTCTTTTCTAGGAACAGAAAAAAAAGAGAGAGCTAGATAACAAATACAGTCAATTCTCAATAGTCCACAGAACACCTTTTTCTTCTCTTTTGAGTACCTGGGTATTTCTTGGGCCATTAGAATGTCTATCAATAGGGCCAATCAGAGACGGAAAAGAAATATAATTCAAATTTATCTGCTTTAAAAATTACTTTCTGAAAACTTAATATTCACACTAAATAATGATGGTTTGTTTTGGTTCTGATAAGAAATTTTCTTACTCTTGGTGTCATTCCTGACTTAGTATTTTTAATGTATCGAAAAGAATCCAGTCTAATGCTGGTGTGTTTGGAGATAAAGTGAACATCACTACCCACATACTGTTATCTGATCCCCCCCCCCACTCCCACAGTTCAGGCCCCCAGCTCCTCTTCCTGGTCTCCCTGCATCATTTCTCCCTAGTTCAGACCATCCATCTGCTGCCAACATTCTTTTCCTTAAGCACAGATCTGGCCACATGACTCCTCTACTCAATAAACACCAATGGCTACCTATTACACCTCTGAGATAAAACAGAAACGCCTCTGTTTAGCTTTTTAAAGCCCTTCACAAAAAATTTTTGCAACAAGTATCTCTGTTAAAGGCCTCATTTCTCAAATATACAGAGAATTGAGTCAAATTTATAAAAATACAAGTCATTTCCCAATTGATAAATGGTCAAAGGATATGAACAGGCAGTTTTTAGACAGAGGAGTCAAAGCTATCTAAACTCATGTGGAAAAAATGCTCTAAATCACTACTGATCAGAGAACTAAAAATTAAAACAACTCTGGGGTATCACCTCACACCTATCAGAATGGCTAATATGCAAAAAAGGAAAATGTTGGATGTTGGAGGGTATGTGCGAAAACTGGGACACTAATGCATTATTGGTGGAGTTGTGAACTGATCCAACCCTTCTGGAAAGCAATTTGGAACTATGCCTAAAGGGCTATAAAACTGTGCATACCCTTTGATCCAGCAATATTTAGCAGTAGCTAGGTCTATATCCCAAAGACATCCCAGAACAAACAAAGCCAATGCAACTAAGATTAGAAGGAAGGTAGAAAATTGGGAAAGAATTTTCACAACCAGTCTCTCGATAAAGCCTGCATTTCTAAAATATATAGAGAATTAAGTCAAATTTATAAGAATGCAAGCCATTCCCCAATTGATAAATGGTCAAATGATATGAGTAGGCAGTTTTCAGATGAAGAAATTAAAGCCATCTATAGTCACATGAAAAAATGCTCTAAATCATTACTGATAAGAGAAATGCAAATCAAAACAACTCTGAGGTACCACATCACACCTATCAGATCGGCCAACATGACAAAACAGGAAAGTGATAAATGTTGGAGAAGATATGGGAAAATTAGAACACTAATGCATTGTTGGTGGAGTTGTGAAATGATCCAACGATTCTGGAGAGCAATTTGGAACTATGCCCAAAGGGCTATCAAAATGTGCATACCCTTTGACCCAGCAATAGCACTTCTAGGGCTATATCCCAAAGACAGCATACAAATGGGAAAAGGACACACATGTACAAAAATATTTACAGAAGCTCTTTTTGTGGTGGCAAAGAATTGGAAATTGAGAGGATGCCCATCAATTGGGGAATGGCTGAACAAGTTGTGATATATGAATGTGATGAAATACTATTGTGCTATAAGAAATGATGAACAGGCTGACTTCAGAAAAACCTGAAAAGACTTGTATGGTCTGATGCTGAGTGAAGTGAGCAGAACCAAGAGAACGTTGTACACAATAACAGCCACGTTGTGTGATGACTAATATTGATAAACTTAACCTTTCCTGACAATACGAGGATCTAAGACATCTCCAGAGGCCTTGTGATGGAAAATGCTATCCACATCCAAAGAAAGAACTATGGAAGATGAATTGCTATTTTTTTTTCTCTTCTGTTGAGTTTTGTTTCCTCTTTCTGGTGGTTCCTCCTTTTGGTTTTAATTTTTTACTTACAATATCACTAATGTGAAAATATGTTTAATAGGAATGTAAATGTATAGCCTATATCAGATTGCTCACTGTTTTGGGAAGGGTGGTGGGGAGGAAGGGGAGAAAAATTTTAAACTTAAAAGCATATGGAAGTGATTATTGATAAATCAAAATAAATTAATTAAAAAAAAGACATCCCAAAAAAGGGAAAAGGACCTATCTGTACAAAAATACCGCAGCTCTTTTTGTGGCAGCTAAGAATTGGACATCAAAGGAATGCTCATCAATTGGGGAATGGCTAAACAAGCTGTGGTATGACTGTAATGGAATATTATTGTGCTATAAGAAATGACAAGCAGGATGATTTCACAAAAACTGGGAAAGAGTTCTATGAACTGACACATAATGAAGTGAACACAACCAGGAGAACGTTGTACACAGTAACAGCAATGTTATTCAGTGAAGAACTGTGAATGACTTAGCTATTCTTAGCAATACAGTGATACAAGATAATCCCAAAGGACTAATGATGAAGCATACTATCTGCCTCCAGAGAAAGAACTGATATTGATTTGACGACAGATTGAAGCGTTCCATTTTTCACTTTCTTTCTTTTTTTTCTTTTATTTGAGTCTTCTTGTACAAAATGACTAATATGGAAATGTTTTACATAATTACACATGTATAACCTATGTCTGATTGCTTACCATCTCAGGGAGGTGGGAGGAAGGAATAGAATTTAGAACTCAATGTTTAAATAAAAATGTTAAAAAAAAATTGAAGGAAGAAAAAAAGCCCTTCACAATCCAGTCCCAACCTATCTTTCCTGCCATACTGAACATCATTCCCCCTCCAATACTATGCAATCCAGCCAAACTGGCTGTTTCTCTATTCCTCACTTGTGACACTCTACCTCTCATTCCTGTGCTTTTAATTGGCTGTCCCACAAGCCTGGAATGCTCTTTCTTCCTTCTCTTCATCTTGTGTAGCTGCCATCTTCCTTTAAGACTCAGCTCAAGTACCTTCCTCTGAATGAACCCTTTCCTCATTTACCCAATAGCTAATGCTTTCCCTTTCAAATTACCAAGTATTTCTTCAACTACCCTGTATGTATTTGTATGTACTCAATTTATACCACATAAATTTACATTTGTACTTATTGTCTCCCCCTCAATAACGCAGCCTTGCAAACAGGATTGTTTTATCCTGTGTACTTACATCCCTGACACAAAGAAAGTGCTTAATAAATGCTTACTGACTGATTTATTAGGTTGTGACTCTATGCCAATAAGTTCTAGGGCACCTAATCTGAATCCTTCTAAAGGTAAAAAATTCCCTAGTAATTAGCTACCAAAGAAAAACCAACCAAGACAAGAATGTCACAGCCTCTAAAGGATGAAGCCGAGAACCGTCTATCTAGAAGGGTCTTTTTCTGGATTTTCCTTACAAAACTAGACCACTGCAACCTGGAGAGTCTTCAACACACACCACCTGGATGTCCTCTTCACCCTTTCCAAAGCATTAAATATAAAGGATTAATTTGGTGATGGTTGTAGAAGCTTTAAATTTAAAAGATAAAAACAACCCATTTTCGTTCTGAACTTAACAAAGAAAAAAAAAATAATAAGCATTTCCATATACAAAGCAGAAAAGAAACAGTAGGCGGTATACAGAACTCCAAATCACCACTGTGTACAACCTGCTTTTCCTTTTAAGTATATAATAAATTCAACACATAACCTTCTGAGATAGTTTGCTTGTCTGTTTCCTTCTGACCTCCTTTATGTTCTCTTCCATTTTTTAAATGCTTTTCAATGACATTTTTAAGGGGTTAATTTGAAAAGTACACAGTTCAACAATCCTTTACACATGGCAAGTGATATTTATTGAATGAAAGAAAAACTTGGAAGATTTCTCAGAGTATATTCTATGCTCATATTTAATGGAATTGGAATTTTCTTTGCATAACACATAAAGAAACAAGGTCTCTAGTGTCCACAACCCAAGGTGCATGGTATCTATAGCACACATAATTTGACAATCAGTAACAACCCCAAGTATTTCAACTGGATTACTTCTCCCTGGTGACAGTGTTTAGGTCCTTCTCACAAACACTAACAATCACAACAGTTCTGTTCATATTCATTTTTCCCGTGAGAGCTCAATATACTTTCATATTTAGTGATATCATTCCCCACAACAGCTCTAGGAAGAAAGCTCGGGCAGACCTTTATTCTGCCTTCAGAGAAGCTCCATCTATCTGCAGTCAGGGGTATAATGGGCTTCTGTGTTTGTACAAGCCCCTCTAGGCCCAAACTCCTCTGGATGCCTTGCTTCTCCAAGGTGGGGCTTATTCCATCCCCAAAAAGCCAGGCCTCTCAGAAGGCTGCCCTGCCTGGGACACTCATAGGCTTATTTCTCCTGTAAGGACCTTCCCTCACAAAGGTCAATAGCCCAGTCGTAGGACAAGCTGGAAAATGCCAGTGTCTGTAGCAATGGTCTTCATTAGCCCCTAGAGACGGCTTGGGCCTCCAGGGAAAGACAGTGGTCAAAGGCAGTGAATCCTTGCCATTATCAATACTTTCAGCACTTCCTAACAGAATGATTCCCTGTATGATTCCCAGATTAATAGATTCGTGAGAACATCTGGCTTACAACATTATTGCACATCTTTATGCCTGGGGAATCATAAACTTAGAGAGAAAAAGAGGGATACGAAAAGATAATTCAGTATCCAAAGTAAAGTTAGTAGAAAAAAAAAATCCAGAGGAACAGTATGTGAATTTTGGAAATAGTGAATCAACTTACTTTGCAGAATACATCTGTGAGGTATAATCATTTGATGATCGAGGGATGTAATCAGCACATGTCATAACTGAAATAAAAAAGATCACCAGATGAAATAGAAATAAATTTTTAAATAAGGTCAAATGGAGTTTTTACATATCCCACAGTACATTCTTTAAAAGCAATGCAGGAGGGCTGGTATGTTGAGATGGAAAAATAACTGGACTGGAAGTCAAGACACCTGAGTTTTAGTCCCAGACGTGCCCAAGTGGGGCCACAAGCATATCCCTTCCCTCCAGAGATTCTTGTGATCCTTGGCAAAATGAGGGGGCTGGGTGAGCTCCTTTGGGCTCTGGTATGCTGTTCCTGCAGAAACAAGTTCAGGAGAGAAGGAAGCAAGGACAGGAACATTCCACACCAATACAGGTTTCAGTGCCCTCCAAATGCTCAAATGTTAACTTTCTAAAGGGGTCACAGTTTGCATTCACTGCCCTCTCCCAGATGCCTCTGTGTACAAACTGAGAGCCAAGGTCTTGCCAAGAGGCAAACAGAAGGCTTCTAAAACTGCACCTGCCTCTGCTGACTTGTGAAGAGCAGGGACATCTGACCTGAATGGACATCAAAACGAGATGGCAGGAGGCAGACAGGGAAAACTAGTGCTCCAAAAGGGCGCTAGTATCAGCAAAGAGCTAAGTGGAGAACCTCCTTGTAACTAACAGAATCACAGAATTTTAAAGCTGAAAAGGTTTCTAGAGATCATCAAGTTAATTCATTCACTTTACAGTGGAAGAACCGAGACCCAGAAGGGAACTTACATGAGGGCAAAGAGAAAATCAATGGCAGGGATGAGACCAGAACCTAGGCTTTTGGACTCCCAGTCCACAATCTTGCCTCTATAACAAGCCATGGCCTCTAATTTAAAGGTAGCATTTAGGGCTGTCCAATGTCCCCTAAAAAGGTGCCAAAGACAGAGTAGAAGTAAATTAACGTGTAGAAGGAGAAACAGAAGGCCAGACTCCAAGGTTGTCCTAGCGCTCCTAGATACCCCTCGAGTGATAGGCCTTTTCTTAACAATATCCCACTGTCCTCCTGGGGAGCAAACCCTCAAGTAAGGGGCAAATATGGCAAAATGTTCACGCCTCAGTGGCAGAAGCAAAATCCTATTGGGTCTTGTAGAGTAAGTCCATGCTACATGCAGACCAATACTAGATGTGACAAGCTTTTACTAGAATCCTCAATAGTTCAAGAACTTTGTCTAAAATAAGTAAGACTGTGCCTTCTAGGGTAAACAACTGGAAAGTAGACCAAACCGTGCCTCTAGCCAGATGATTTTAAAGAAGTCAAAAGTACCCTTAGTTCAGGGGAAGATTAAAGTCAGGTCAGGTGTGGACCAATGCAAATCAATGTTTGAGTGAATTTATGAAACAGATTCACGAAACAATCAAATTCTTTTAAGTTTAAGGGGTAAAATTCACTTAATAGGAAAAATTGACAATGATGAGCAGGCCTCACCTAATTCTGATGATTTCTCTAAGTTACTTCCTCATGTGTCACATAGTTCTTGGAAGATCTGAGTTCAAATGCAGCCTCAGATACTTAGAAGTTGTGTGATCCTGGGCAAATCATTTAACTTCTGTTTTCCTCAGTTTCTTTAACTGTAAAATGTAAAATGAGCACCTACCTCCCAAGGTTGTTGTGAGAATCAAATTAAATAAGACACATACAGTGCTTTAAAAACCTCATTTACATGAACACCTACTATTGAATCAATTCTAATACTAATTTACACGGGTAGGGGAGCATTACCATAATCTACTTCCTGAAAGCCTTTTAAAAATCTTTTCCTTGAATTATTCCAGTCCTCAAAGATAATCAAAGAAAACAGAGTAAAAATTCTGGGAGCTGTAGGCCATGGGTTTAATCACATACTTCTCACTGCTCTCAAGAACAAGTTAAGATCTGGCCCCAGTTTGAAAGCCAGGAAGATTTAATGATCCAAAAGGAATTAACTGGTAAAATACAATATGATGTCAAAAGAGAGGATAAGAGGAGAATATGGTAAATATTATGTCAAGGAGGGACCTGTTCTGCACCAGGGATCCTCTAAAGGCTGGTTATGGATTGGATTAGTGTGGCCATTTGGAGAATTAGGGGGAGGAGAAAATATATTCAGAGCATAAAAGCCATCTTAGGAGACAGATTTTCCATTGGATGGAGGCAGGGAACAGAGAGTTCTAAGATAGTGCCTACTGCATGCATGAAAGGGGACCCTTGGGTTAGATGGGATGTTCTACGACAGGAGTTAAGAACTCCCAGAGTCTGTGAATTTTTGATAACTGCATTTCAACATAATGGTTTTCATTTGTAATCCTATGTATTTTATGCTCTACATTTGAAAACATTCACAGGAGTCCACAGAACAAAAAAGGTTAAGAATTCCTGTTTCTAAGGTAAAGTGGTGAAGTTATCTTGGAGTGAGGGGAAGAAATTTTGAAAGGCAAATGTCGTACAGAGAAGTGGCTGTTTAGCATTTGTGTCTCCCTCCCTCTCTCTTTTGACACTAGGTCTCTCCATCTCACCCATGTTGGAGGTGCAGAGTCCATTCATAGTCCCGATCCCACTAATGAGTAGCAAGGAAGCTTTGATTGGCTCCTCTTCCAACCTGGGCTCCTTCACCCATCCTGAGGCAGCCTGGTGACCACCCACTCTACCAGGAGTTCATGCTATTGGTACCAGACTAACTGAAGATTCCTAATTGGCTTTAGCCTGTCTGTAGCTCAGAACTCCCAAGTTCAAGAGATCCACCAGCCCATGCCTTCCCAGCAGCAGGGAATAGGCATGTGCCACCATACTGGATTGTTTAGTATCAAAGGGACTGGCTTGTTTCTTTTACAAATACTTTTTTTCTCCGTTCAATCTGGCATGAAGCTGAACCCTCTTTCATGTGTGGTTGCCCCTAATCAGAAACGAGCCCCTTGAAAGATATGGATCCATTTGTTTGTATCCTGAGTGCTAAGTATGGTGCCATGCATACGGTAAGACCTTAATAACTGCTTCTCTACTTTACTCCATTTTTTACTGTCTTGTAATGTGCATGGACATGCTAGAGAAGTAAGTACCCTTGGCTATTTCTGTGATTGAGCAAGGAAGAAAGATAGAAGGGCATCAGTGAGAGGACTCTGGTAACTTACAAGTCTGGAGATTACCTTAGAAAACAAAAGTAGACTTCTGGTTCTCAGAAGACCTATTTCAGATATTTAATGTGACAGTTTATTACTAATTTGCCCAACCTCTCAAATTTTTCTCTTGGTTTTAGGCTGTTGGGTTAAGCCTTTAAGCCCTATGAGGACTCACAAGCTTTTCTGTATGGCCCTGCTATCCCTAGGACACTGCCCCCTCTGCTTAGAATCTCGAAGAAATCCCTAAATTGGACTCACTGCACAAGAATCTCAGTGATTTTGTTCTCCATCCAGCAGTCCAGGAAAAGTGAAATTGGTCCTCTTTGCACACAATGGAAATGAATTATTGAAAGGATCTGTTTTTTAGGTACTTACTTTCATCTGACATGGTAAGGTTTGAAGCAAGGCTTGAAGTTTCAGGTTTCTGATCACTGCCTTCAGGGTTGCTCACTTGACTGGAGGGAATCAAAATTAATACATTAGCCACCAAAATCATAACTGAAATGACTGACAATGCTTAAAGGCTGACTTCTCCATACCTCGGGGGGAAGTGATCTCACCCCACCACCTGAGATCATAGCAGCCTGCCTTTCTCTTTTGGTGTCTCTCATGTGCTAATCCACTTTCTATTTATCTGGGCACAATTCATAACTTTCCCACTTAGCGGTAAGCTCCTTGAGGATATGGACTCTGTTTTTGTTTCCTTGTACATCTCCCCCAGAACATTTGGAATTTACCTACACATAGGAGGAACTCTATATTTGTGGATGGTATGAATAAACATTCCTGGTGAGTCTGAAAGAAACCCCTCCCCAACCCCACTTTGTTCCCTGCAGGGCAATGGGGGCCCTGGGGCTTTGAGGCCCTCAGGCCTACAGGATCTCTTTGTGGCTTCCAGGGAAAAGTTAAGATCAGGGTCCCCAAAGTGGCTTCCCCAGAATTCCATTATGGGGGTTCTGGGTCCCCAATATGCTGCTTCAAGTCTTGATAGCATACAGAAGCTCCAGAAAGTAGTCTGGTTGGCAGTAGATGTGGTATGTTATTATTAAAACCAGCATAATTATTATATAATTTTTAACTCCTAAATGGTTTCTTTTCCATTTAAGAAAGTCATAAAAGCACCAAGAGGTAGAAATGGAAATGGAAAGGCATCTACTAGGGGTCAGGAGGCTGATTTGTACACAGATTCAAATATACAAGGGACCAGATTATGTTCCCAAGGCATAACAAGATAGCAGAAGAAACTTGATACAACAGTTAGCCTATAAGTGGGATATTATTCCTATCTCCTGACACTAGCACTATAAAAGAAACTTACTTTATTATTCTCATCAAATAGAAAATTGATGGAAAACACACACACACACACACACACACACACCCCCCAAGTAAATCAGAGAACAAATGAGGAAAGGTGACTCACATGTAAAAGCACAATTGGAATGGGGTAGTAGCTGTGCCCCAGACTGTGATCTTGGGAAGACTGATAACAGCCCTTACAAGCATAAAGTCTATTTCCCCTCCAAGTTTCCCCTGTTCCTCTCCACAACTGTCTCCTCTATTTTCCCTTCTATTTTTCTCCACTCTCTCCACACTCCCTCAACTTCTGCTCTTTCTCTCTCTCAGCCCTCTCTTTTGTTGCTTCTTCATAGTCTTGATGAGATGACCATCCTGTTTCTCTAAGAACTAGAGCAGGGGGATCCACAGGATCAGAAGGTTCCAGCCCACATACTGTCAGCCAAAAAAGAACAGGAAGAAAATAAGAGATTAAGACTGTACAGAGACACTATCAGAAAGAAAGATTAGATGTACCCAATACAGAGTCTCAAACATCTTTATTGTATACCCAAAACCAAATTTCAAAGCCCAGGGACAAAATGACAAATGAAAAACTCTTTTGTTCCCTGATAGTCTTGTCCTGAGAATGTATTAGTAAAACATGGAAGCACAGATTGCCTCAAATGATCTCCCAAATACATGTGTTTTCCTAAGCTACACTGTATCTCAGGGTATTTCATTCTGATCTTTGATAACTTCTAAATTTTCTAGCACTGACAAAAATATTTTTTTTAAACCTTACCTCTACAAATGAGAAAACTTACACTTTGTAAGCTATCAAGCACTATGTAAATGCTAGCTGTTATATATGCTAAACAACATTTGCACAGCTCAGTAAGGTCCTCCTCAGTTTATTAGCTCATGTAAGATCAGTGTTAGCACTGAAGCACTGCTGTAAACCCCATTCTACAATGAGATGTAAAACTAGGTATCACTTTTGAAAACCTGTGAATCTTGAAGGGGGGAGAAGAGGACACATTTAAAATCATACTCAAGTGCTCTAAGGAAGCCACTACTTAAGGAATCCTATTATGACTTTTTTTTTTTTTTTGGTGAGGCAATTGGGGTTAAGTGACTTGCCCAGGGTCACACAGCTAGTTAAGTGTCAAGTGTCTGAGGCCAAATTTGAACTCAGGTCCTCCAGACACCAAGGCTGGAGCTCTATGCACTGCGCCACCTAGCTGCCCCCAATTTTTTAAAAAATTTTTAATATTTTTTTCCTTTTTGATGAGGCAATCAGGGTTAATTGACTTGTCCAGAGTCATCACACAGCTAGTAAATGTCAAGTGTCTGAGACTGGATTTGAACTCGGGTCCTCCTGACTCCAGGGCCAGTGCTCTATCCACTGTGCTACCTAGCTGCCCCATGACTCCTTTTCCAAAGTGAAGAAATCTTTCAAAAACATATTGTTCCCACTGATTTATCTTTTATGCATTATGCAAAAAAATGGGAATTTTAAAATGACATTTGTTTAAAGTGCTATGTAGCTGGTTCAAGTATCGTTTTCACTTATGATCTTTCATCTTACTTTCAATTTATGAGGCACTGCTCCTCTCAAAGCCACTTTCAGTCAATTTGGTAAAAAACGAGAGCTAATGAAATGTCTTTATGATGCCCTAGAAATTCAACCTTTGCCACTACTTCTATAATTCAATTTTTTCAAAGGGCCAGGAAAAAATACACATCAGAATTATTTCTTTCTTTCTTTCTTTCTTTTTTTTTGGTGAGGCAATTGGGGTTAAGTGACTTGGCCAAGGTCACACAGCTAGTACATGTCAAGTGTTTGGTCTGAGGCCGGATTCTGAACTCAGGTCCTCCTGACTTCAGGGCCGGTGCTCTATCCACTGCTCCACCTAGCTGCCCCCCAGAATTATTTCTTATATTTCTTTAGGACTCTGGGCAGAAAGTCGCTAGGGTCTAGTCACATCTATCTGCATATTAAAAAAAAATCAGGTTATTTTAAAAATTAGCTATTCCTTTGAATTCTCCTTGATGAGAAAGTAGCAGTTCCTGAAGGTAGTTTCTCTCCGTGATGTTTTCCAGAGTTAATGGTGCCTCAGTGCCAAAAGAACTTTCTATATGGAAAATCAAGATTAAGTGCTACAAAAGATATATCACATACAACAGCCTGTAATATCAGTATTGCATTTCATCAGACATCCCAGAAAACTGAATGGTAGAAAAGAAAGAACACTGAACAAAGAGTGAGAAGCTCTGGGTTCAAGTCTTAGTATCATCTCTTCTGAAGCACTGTCTGCCACCTCAAAGGGATGTTGGGAAAAAGTGCTTTACAAAAATGCTATAAGCATATGAGCTCCTACTCAGAATCCCTATGCTCTCCAAAGTTAGAGGCACAAGAATTCAATTCAACAAACAGCAATTGGCACCAATTACATTTAAAGCAACTTGCTAGTTAATTACAGCTATGACCCTGATAACTGTAAGAGGAGTTTGTGAAACTTGTCTGCAATGCTGCAAGTGGAAGGAAGACGGGGGAGCCCATCTGCTGCAACATTTGTTGAAAACTCATCTTGTGCAGAATCCTATTACAAGGCACTTTGGAGAGGGACAGAAGCAATGTAAAAAACAAGACTTTCCTTGGAATGTCTAAAAATTTAATCTAGGAAGAATGGACATACACAAAAAATTGACTTAAAAATACATGTGAAAACGAACAAAGCATACAAAGTAGAAAAGTCATGGTGGAAGTTGGTTAGGGTTAATCAAGAAAGGTTCTACCAGAAAAGGAGGTTTATTTTGAATCATGATTTGAAGAAGAATGTCATGGAATGGCAGAAAGAAAAAGGTATTTCAGAAAAGCAAGACAGCCAAAATAAAAGGCACCACCGGTAAGAACAATCAATCTCAGCAGGTTGCTACAAGGGAAGTATTTTTTTTTTAAAAAGCTAAAGTATTTTTAAAAGCTAAAGTATTTCATCAGTTTACTTCTTAACATTATATAATGAAAATGAAAAAAGGATAACATCATAGCTTTTCTGTTAGATTTAAGTTAAAGACATTCATCAAAAGGCATCTACAAATATGACTATTCAAAAAAGTTTTTCTATACCAACTGACCAATAACTGTCTCTAAATATTATCCAGCTAGGAGGCACTGGCACAGATTTGAACTAAAATTAGTATTATTCCCCCAAAATAAAGCCTAAATTTAAAAAGCTAGCTTATATTAAGTGAAAAAGAAGTTTAATATAGTTTTCAAGAAGCAATAATAAATGAGAGAAGGCATTGATGTCAGTCAATAAACATTTATTAAGCACCTACTAAGTTTTGCCTGGTAGGTACTGGGTTAAGCATTGAGATATGAAAAATGGTCTTTAATAAGTCACAGTAAGAAAAAAATGTATACTGAACTTCCACTTACTCAAAATAGGATAATTTTCTATCCTTCAACCTTGAGAATTCAAAGAACATGTTATAAACTCAGGGCAGAGGAATGTACCCCCTTACTCCATCCCAGCCCCAAAATCCATGCAGCCAAGCAAGGAAATATCTTGGAAGAATCTGAAAAAACTGATAGTGGGATTAGAAGTTCTGTTTGTAGTTTCTTCTTGTTAACCATAACAATACCATGTTGGACAGAGCAAAGCTAACTCACTTGGGTGATACTAAGATAAGCAAAACCCACTGCTCTTGAGGAAGCCTTTCCTACAGAGAGTCAAAGTTGTTAGCGAAGTTCCTTGATTTCTACATGAGCTTACAAGTACAGTGTACTGCAGGCTCTCTATAGGGTCAAAGTGTTCATTCTTAGCATGGTTAGGCCAAATCCACACATCAAATGATCCTTCTCCAGGCTGTACTAATTCCACGCCATCTATAAAATTTATGACTGCAAAAACTTTATAATCACTTCTATTGTTCAACCTAAATTGTGATCAATAATCTGTGCCTGAAAACAGCCCCTGTAGTTAACAATAATAGCACACACAGTAATCCGATTTTAATTCCTAGTCACCAAAACATTATTGATCCATTGTAGACCCAAAAATGTTTCTAACCATAATTTTTCTCAATCAAATTCACAGCCAGATGTGCACAGTACACAGTAACTTAAAAACCATGCCCCTTCCCCTGTCTCTTATAGAACTACTCTTGGGGAGACATTCTATCTGTTTAGTGCCAATAAAGGTTGGTATTGCCAAACTGCTGCTCCATAAAGTTTGTATCTGGGAAACATCTCATTGCAGGGCACGGCTGTTTATTAACTGAACAGAAAATAAAGTTATGCTTATGGCAAGCAGTAAGTTTCAAGGTCTTCCAAGTTATATAAAAACGGACCTGCAAAAATATTTTAAGTGTTTTTAGGTTGCAAAGTTGGAGCTGAAATATGATATCGAACCAATTGCAAAAGCACATATCAGCTATCTTTTGTGATGAGACCAGGTACTCATATATAAAAAGAAACTTTAAGACATAAGTAGCTTGGGGGCAGCTAGGTGGCGCAGTGGACAGAGCACCAGCCCTGAAGTCAGGAGGACCTGAGTTCAAATTTGGCCTCAGACAGTTGACAATTACTAGCTGTGCGACCCTGGGCAAGTCACTTAACTCCAATTGCCACCCCCTCCAAAAAAAGATATATGTAGCTTGTTGGCCTTGTCCCACATCATTTCATGATTTGATCATGTTTGAATTTCACAAAAGATTCCTATTGCTCTGCTAATTTTATACCGAGGCCTTGCTCATATTCCTCCCAGACTCAATCTGCATTGTCTTTTAAAAGATATTCACACAACATTCTCCCTCCCTCCTTTTGCCATAATGTAAATGCTGGCTGACCTGTCTTCATCCAGGATGAGCCTGAGGAAATGAGTGCTCTAAGTCCTCAAGAGTTACCGACTCTGTCTCCATCTAAAAGCAACTGTATTCTGGATATATGTTGAGATTCCATGGCCCAAGCAGGGTGGACGGAGGGGTTCAGTGGCCATGCCCAAACTGAAGGACGACAAGGAGGAGGGTGGCAGCAGCAAGGCAAGCCAGTCCCTTCCACAGAGCCCTGGCTCCTGTGCTCAGAGGGCTGGGCCTAGGCGGTTCCAGGGCTGCCTCCTGCACAAGCCTGAAACCGTGCCACAGATGGCAGGGAACATCACCACCACCAATGTCTAATCATTACTGAGTGTCCCGAGACAGCAGAGAGGACATGTTAGGGCATAACAGGAGATGATGTGGTGAGAGAGCACCACTACAGACTCCATTTGGGAAGACCTAGGTTCTAGCTCCAGCTCTGACAACCTGCAGGCCCTGGTGTAATCACTGAGCTTCTCTAAGCCTCAGTTTGTTTCCTTATGTGTAAAATGGGAGGCTTGTATCAGATGATCTTGAAGATCCCATCTGTTTTCTCAAATCCTGCGATCCAGAGATGGATCTGTGGGGAGAAAGTAGGTGTTGACAAATGACCTTGAAGACCAGAGAAGAAATGATGTTTTGTTAAATAGGAGCACTATAATCAGTCTGTGTGATAGGTGAGCTGGGGGTTAGGACAACGTGAAGGGGTGGGGGCAGATGGAAGTTTATTCCAGAAATCTGTCTATCAGTCTACCAGTATTTCCCAGAGTGGTGTCAGGAGCCAAAGGAAAAAAGGAAAATTACAGATGGAAAAGGGAAGGAAAGAGAAAGTGATAGAAAGGGAAAGGAAGGATGGGAAGGAAAAGGTGAAAAGAAAGGAAAGCATCCAAAGTGGCTTGGAAAGAGTGCTAAGTCTGGAGTCAGAGGACCTGGGTTAGAATTCTCACAGCTACACACATCACCTGTGTGGCCCAGGGCAAGTCACTTAACATCCATGGAGGCCTTTCTTCATCGGTAAAATAACAATACTAGCAACAACAACAACAAACAAGAACAGCTGGTTTTTATCTAGCCCTTTAAGGCCCCAAGCACTTACACCAAGGGCTATTGGCAGGGAGACAAGTGAATTCTCAGATGGCCTTGGAGAGTTACTGTAACTTGCCCAGCATCCTAAGCCAGTATCCGAGGCAGGATTCCCACCCAGGGCTTCTGGCTCCAGTCCAGCACTTCATCCTCTTTGCATTTCCTTTGATCTTAAATCCTATCACCAGCCAGTCCAAAGAAGCAACATGCTCGATATCCAAGATGTGAGAGAGAAAAATAACCCCAAATAGCCCCAAGGTAGAGATTTCGTATTTCTAAAACACATGTAGAACTACAAGCTACTTGAAAAAAAAAAGAAAGGTAAGTTATAAACGTGAAAAGTTATTTACCAGAAGCACAAAACAGGAAAGAAACTTTTAGGTTTACAACAACTCCTAGATTTACAAAAGTTCACAATTTTTCAGAGCACCAAATGCCAACTCTGCTATTCCTAAAGTAGTCATACTTTATTCTTACATGCTATTTCCAAAGTATTCACAAAACCCTACGTACTAACACAACTTAATGGATCCTCTTGGAGACAAAAAGGAGATGGGGCAAGGTTATTAACCCCCACTTGAGGTTTAGAGGGGTTGAGGGTGGAGGGAGGCCTATGATTTTACTGGCTTGCAGGGGTGGAGAATTCCTGGATTAGGAAATCTCCTCTACCAATGCGGGCTGGTTTGTTCTCAGCAATTTATGAGGGCTGCCTAAAGCACAGAGACGTTAAGTTACTTGCCCAGGATCACATAGTAGTATGTGTCAGAAGCTAGACTTAAACCCAGGTCATTCTGACCCCTAGGTCACCTCTAACTAAAAAGGGAAAGCCAGGCAAAGACTAAGAGAAATAAACAAGGAGAGAAAAAAAGAGGGATAACAACATATCACCACTTATATTTGTACAGAAGCTTCTATCACCAAAGCTGTCATGGACATAACCTTATTTATTCCTCATAACAAGCCTATAAATAGGTAGAAAATGGTATCAAGTCAAGACTCAATTAGCTGCACTCTCATTTTGGGTTCTCTTCCTGATAAGGTCAAGTATAGGTGTTATCGGAGCATATGAATGCATATGCTGGGGGGTGGGGGGTGGAGGGTGGGGTGGTGGCTCAAAAAGGAGGGAAGTATCTGAGAGTAGCTTTGTGCAATACTTCCTACAACTTCCTTAATAGGAAAGAAGGAAGGCAGAGGAGGCAAGGGATGGCTGAAAAATCTTCTAGAAGCCAGAGGTCTTTGTAGGCTTCAAAACCATATGGTTCTAATATTACTACAGGCATTTTAGAAAGTAAATAAAAATAGCACTCTGAATTAGTCATAATACTGGTAATGAAAGGATTAAAGCCAATTTTTAAAGTCCTGAAATTTTCCTAGTTTAGGTAGTATTTGATGTATTTCATGACCAGATTTGTGCCAGTATCCTCAGTGAGATACAAAGAACCTTTTCTGTACCTCCTTGTTAGGTGCTCTCTATCCAAAAACTGGAAACAGCTGCTTTAAAATATAACTGCATCCTTTTGGTCAATGCTCTTCCCCCATCCCATGGCCCCGGACCAAAAACAAAAAAAGTGACTGGAATAGACACTACTCCTATTAAATAGTCAACAAACACTATGCTCGTTGGTAATCAGTAAACAGAGGTGTAGGGGAGAGAAAATTTACTTTGAAGAAAAATGTCCATCTTAAACCAAGTTATTTGGAATATGAAGTAGATAGTAAATGATAAAGTGTTTGATTTGTGACACTATTCCATCCAAATCAGAGCACACACCATGATGAGGCAGAAAAAGCAAAAGTAATAAAGACAAGGTGGGAATGGATTATAGAGAAATTTAACCTTACGCACCTCAAAGTCTGCTCTCCCGAATCTTGCATCTTGGCTTTCTTCACCTGCAAAGACAAATTGATAAATGCGCACCAAGACAGTGATCTTTCTGGACCAGAGAAAACCTAGGGGCTACAATGGTAAATTTCTGTTGGAAACTAATTATTGATTTGCCTATTATAAGATTCTATTTTGAGAATAAATTTAATTAGTCCTAGTGTTTATATACTGTGGCTAAAGAAACAAGCTACTCTAACTTTTGGTTGGATCCAAAAAAATTTCATATCATTATAATGATAATGATGATGGTGGTAGTGGTGGTGGTGATGCTTTTTGTAGATTCTGATTTCAAAGCTAAACTTTCACCAGAAAACAGATTCATCAGACTAGCAGTGCAAATTTCAAGGTACACATCACAGAGACAGTTAAATAGAATCATTAGCTGGAAAAGACTTTAGACATTATCTAGCCCCACCTCATTTTGAGCCCTTACTCATTCTAGAGACGAGAAAACTGAGACAAAGTCATTTGCCCATGCTCATACAGACTCACAGATAGAGTCAGGCTTCCTGACTCCCATTCTGCCGCTTTCTCTGGTAAACCACCCTGCTGCCTCCAACAGTGTATAGTCCAAGAAGACTTTTCTATTTGTAAGTAAAAGAGGTGTTTAAGTTGAAGGCCTACAAAATCACAATTTTTTAAGAAAAAGGACACAAATTCTGACTTTAAACCCTGCAGAATTACAGCATTTTAGTGGAAGAAGGGAATATCAATTAGCCCAACCCCTTCACTTCACCAAAAAAAGCAGGTGAGACCCAAGGAGAGGGACTTACCCAACGGGCCATAATGAGCCAGTAACTGAGCTGGTTCAAACCCAGGTCTTCAGACAGTCAAGGAAGGGTTCTTTTTGCTACACTACATTGCTTGTCTTTTAACTATCATCATTTTTTTCCCTCCAAAATTATTTTAAAGTTAAAAAATAATTAAGAGTCTATCAATAAGTCTTGCCTTGCATTTGAAAGTTTTTAAAAATCAAGTTAATGTTTATTCCCCTAACAGACAAGTGCAGAACATAAGCTGGTGAGGGGTAAGGACTGTATTGTTTTGTCTTTGCTCTCCAAAGCTGAGCACAGAACCTTTCACATAACAGGCAATTAAGAAATCTTTTTATTGAGTAGTTGCTGAATGAGGACATTAACAAGAAAAGCATCTAGCCAGCAACACATAGTGTGAGGAAAATAATTTGGGAAATATTCTGGTGACCATATTCCATAATTCCTTCTCTTCTACATTTCAGTCATCAAGGGACCCTGAAGATCTTCCTGACTATAATAGAGCCTACCTACAAACGGATTGGATGACCTCATGACACAGCACAAACAGATCACTGTCTCAGATGGAAGGCATCGCAGACTCCATTTCCATCCCTCTGCCTGAAGTACACATCTCTTCTCTTAACACTACAGAAAGGTCGTTGTCATGTTCTGAACACTTCCAGGAATGAGACACTCATTCAATACTGCAGTAGTCCATTCTATTTTCTGAACAGCTCTAACTATTAGGATATTCTGCCTTGTATTGAGACCAAATGTGCCTCTCTGTAACCTTTAGCCCTAGACTAGATAAAATCTAAGGATTTTTCCAACTCCACCAAAGTCTACTTTCTCCTTGCTAGAGCAATGATATACACTAACTTCTAGTACATTTAAAACATGTCTATAGTAGGAACTTATTATTATTTTATAATAGCAGCTACACATGAGGGTGTCTTTCTTTTAAACAAATTAACAAAAGTACAACAAATTACAGAAGCCCAGAGATAGAAGGGACCTCTGAAGTAATCTAGCCCAGCCAGCTGCCAAATACGTCTCCCTGACAAGTGGTCGCCCTGCCTCTGACTGAAGATTCCAATGGAGGGGAATATGCTACCAGCCTAAATGCTAAGCTTGCATTATTGTATCAATAAACACTACTAAAATCCAATCTGCTTTAAGTTTGTAGCAAGCTATATTGTCATCTCTACTTTTTTTTTAAAAATTAGGAATCAACAGCTGATAAGATTAGAAGGGAAATAGTTAACTCGAAAAAAAAATTATCACAGCAAGTTTCTCTGATGAAGGTCTCATTTTCAAGATATACAAGGAAGTGATTCAGTTTTATAGGAACAAGAGCCATTCCCCAATTGATAAATGGTCAAAGGATATGAACAGGCAATTCTCAAGGGAAAAAAATCTAAGCTATCTATGACTATATGAAAAAATGACCCAGATCACTAATAATCAGAAAAATGCAAATTAAAGCAACTCTAAAGTCCTTCATCATAACCATCAGATTGGCAAAGCTGACAGAAAAGAAAAATGATAAATCTGGAGGAGCTGTGGGAAAACAGGCACAGAGCTGTGAATCAGTCCAGCCATTCTGGAAAGCAATTTGGAACAATGTTCCAAAAATTACTAAATTGTATACTCTATGATCCAGAAATATGACTACTGAGCCAATACCTCAAAGAGATGAAAGAGAAAGGGGCTCCATACATACAAAAACATTTACAGCAGATCTTTTTGTAGTGGTAAACTGGACACTGAGGGGGTGACGGAGGGAGTGTCCATCATTTGGAAAATGGTTAAAATAAATTATGGTAAAGAATAAAATGAATTATGGTAATAGGATAATATTGTGCTATAAGAAAAGATGAAAAGAATGGTTTCAGAGAAACCTAGGAAGACTTGTATGAACTGATGCAAAACAAAGTAAGAAGAATCAAGAGAACAAGTTATACTAAAACATTAATGTTATAAAAACAAATAGTAGTGAAAGATTTAAGAACTCTGATCAATGCAATGTTCAACCATTATTCTGGAGGTCAAATGAAGAAGAAAGCTACCTACTTCCTGACAGAGAGGTGATGGACTGCAGAATGAAATATATGTTTATATATATGAATATTTATCATATTAGAAAGTAACACTGATAAAATTTTAAAATATTTAAGTAATTAATTTAAAAATAAATCCTTTATAAATTAATATAAACAATATTATTATATTTTCCAAAACAGAAAAAAAATTAGTGAGAAGAATACCAATGTTGCATATATTTTCCAAATTTTTTAATGTCTAGCTGAACAATAGACAATTGGATATCTGCTTTTTCATTTAGTCTTTTGTGATATATTTTGTATGAAATACATGAAGAATACACACATAAAGTCAGATCTAAATAACTGGAAAAACATCAGTTGCTCACGGGTAGGACGAGCTAATATAATAAAAATGACAATTCTACCTAAGCTAATTTACTTATTCAGTGCCATACCAATCAAACTACCAAAAATCATTTTATAGAGTTAGAAAATAACAAGATTCATTTGGAAGAACAAAAGGTCCAGAATATCAAGGGAACTAATGAAAAGAAATGCAGGGGAAGGTGGCCTAGCCATTCCAGATCTTAAATTGTATTATAAAGCAGCAACCATCAACACTGCTTGGTACTGGCTAAGAAATAGAGTGGTGGATCAGTGGAACAGGTTAGGTATACAAGACACAGTGGTCAATGACTATAGTAATCTATTATTTGATAAACCCAAAGACCCCAGCTTTTGGGATAAGAACTCACTCTTAGAAAAAAACTGCTGGAAAAACTGGAAAAGAGTATGGCAGAAACTAGGCATTGATCAAAATCTCATATCATATACCAAAATATAGTCAAAATGGGTTCAAGATTTAGATATAAAGGCTGATACTGTAAGCAAACTGGGAGAACAAGGAATAGTTTACCTATCAGATTTATGGAGAACAGAAGAATTCATGACCAAACAGGAGATAGAGAACATTATGAAAAGCAAAATGGATAACTTTGATTACATTAAACTGAAAAGTTTTTGCACAAACAAAGCCAATGCAACTAAGATTAGAAGGAAGGTAGAAAATTGGGAAAGAATTTTCACAACCAGTCTCTCGATAAAGCCTGCATTTCTAAAATATATAGAGAATTAAGTCAAATTTATAAGAATGCAAGCCATTCCCCACTTGATAAATGGTCAAAGGATATGAGTAGGCAGTTTTCAGATGAAAAATTAAAGCCATCTATAGTCACATGAAAAAATGCTCTAAATCATTACTGATAAAAGAAATGCAAATCAAAACAACTCTGAGGTACCACATCACACCTATCAGATCGGCCAACATGACAAAACAGGAAAGTGATAAATGTTGGAGAAGATATGGGAAAATTGGAACACTAATGCATTGTTGGTGGAGTTGTGAAATGATCCAACGATTCTGGAGAGCAATTTGGAACTATGCCCAAAGGGCTATCAAAATGTGCATACCCTTTGACCCAGCAATAGCACTTCTAGGGCTATATCCCAAAGACAGCATACAAATGGGAAAAGGACACACATGTACAAAAATATTTACAGAAGCTCTTTTTGTGGTGGCAAAGAATTGGAAATTGAGAGGATGCCCATCAATTGGGGAATGGCTGAACAAGCTGTGGTACATGAATGTAATGGAATACTATTGTGCTATAAGAAATGATGAACAGGCTGACTTCAGAAAAGCCTGAAAAGACTTGTATGGTCTGATGCTGAGTGAAGTGAGCAGAATCAGGAGAACGTTGTACACAGTAACAGCTACGTTGTGTGATGACTAATATTGATAGACTGAGCCCTTCTCAGCAATACAAGGATGTAAGACATCTCCAAAGATCTCATGATGGAAAATGTTATCCACATCCAAAAAAAGTACTATGGAGTTTGAATGCAGACCGAAGCATACTATTTACTATTTTTTTTTCTTCTGTTGAGTTTTGTTTCCTCTTTCTGGTAGTTCCTCCTATTGGTTCTAATTCTTACCCACAATATCACTAATGTGAAAATATGTTTAATAGGAATGTAAATGTATAGCCTATATCAGATTGCTCACCGTTTTGGGGAGGGTGGTGGGGAGGAAGGGGGAGAAAAATTTTAAACTCAAAAGCATATGGAAGTGATTGTTGACAAATCAAAATAAATTAATTTTAAAAAATTAAAATAAATAAATAAATACATGAAGAAAACCCAGCCTCACACAAATATATAATCAGAAAAGGGAAGACTATTTTGATAACCGTTTCAGATAATTGTGGAGATTCTACTCTGGTGTTATACCAAAACTCCCCAAGTGGTAGTTTCTTGAGGGCTCATTACATGTGGAATCATACTCTTTTACATTAAAATTCATTGGTCTATTATATATCAGTCATTTGGAGAATACTGATTCACTGAGTTATTCAGATCTTCCAAATACTGATACATTTCATTATACAATATCAAAAATAATAGTCATTAATAAATATCACCACTGACCTCATCAGAAAAGTCTTGAAGTACTGGTAAGTTGTCAAGTTTACAGTGGGAGATAAAACTTTCTCAAAATTCTAATTTTCACTTGAAATACTGAATTTTATCATTGGCAAAAAGCCTAAAATTGTTCTCCTTGAAGTGAAAAGTTAACTTCATTTATTTTTGAGAAAATACTCCAAATCTACACAATTATAATTTGTGTGTTGTTCTTTCAAATACAAATTCCAGGAGGAAAAAGGCTAGTTAAGTAACTGAAACAAGTGCACAAATGCTTTTCCTCAAGACAAACACGTACTTGAGTATGCAGCAAAACTGTTCTTTGCACAGTTCCCTTGTCATCATAAAGAATATTAAAAAGATATGTACTCAAGGGTCAAGGTTTAATAAAATTAACACAGTTTTATTGCTTCATGAAGGACTCTCTGAAGCGAAACTGGGGAAGAATACATGAGTACCAGGACAATGTGGTGCCAGGGCCTTGATTTGTGCTAAGGTATCAGCAGCTTGATCAGTCATCACTCCTGCACCTTCACTGCAAATGTCAACACAGTTATCCCATAACAAACAATGAGGTTCCAAAGTTACTCAGTACCAATTATTTCAGCACCAGTTGTGTTTGTGGTCAAGTGTTCAGATAGAAGAGCTTCTTCAGTAACTACTGGATCCTGATACCACATAAATACCAGTAAAGTGTCAAGTCCAACCACATTTGCAGACTCATCTATTTGTAAGACAAAAGTATAATTCTGCAGATAAGTTATTAACTCGGACCTCATGTGTGCAGCTAAATTTTTCATTCACTGCTCATGTAGCCTCTGGAAAACTCCACTACGTACTCAAGAGAGGAGAGTGGAAATGGCAAATGCTCTTAGTAGTTAGTAGGACTAATGTTCTTAATAGTATTATGGAAATAGTTTTGACCTCACAGACCTCCTGCAAGGGTCTTCAGGACCCCTGGAGGTCCCCAGACCACAGTTTGAGAGCTGTTGCCTTAGATTATTTTCCCACGTCAGTGTTCTTTCAAGAAGTCCGTGAGGTTTGGAGAAACCACTGGGCTCTCAAAGGCTATGCTACTGGAATATAAACTCTGGAATGTCTTCCACTAAGCTAGAAAAGCCTCAAATACAAGCTCAGGGCCAGGCTCACCACCAGAGGGCAGGCCATGGGGAGATCACATTTAAAAAAAAACATAGCCATTTATTACAAGTATGGCGGGATTAGGAATTAGGAGTTAAAGTGGAGAACACCACTGGAGGACAGATCATGATACTGATGCTTTAAATATTGAAGTAAATATTAATTACATTTTCTCAAAACTAGATGAAACCCAAAAGATCACCCACTCCAATGCCTTCATTTTACTGATCAAGAAACTGAGACTCAGAGATGGGGAAGGGACTCGAATAAGGTCACACAGTATAACAGTGCTAGAGCCAAGAGAATACCTAAACAGTCAAATTTAGAATAGCTCAATTCAGGATCAAATGAGTTGACATCTATAAAGGGCACTATAAATCTTAAAGTGCTACATGATGGCTATCTATTATTATTATTATTATTAAATATTTTAAATTTTCTTAGCGGGTAAGGCCAAAAGATCAACAAGACCAACAAAATTCCCACCTGGCACCTTTTCTCCATGATGAGTGATATCCCTCCCCTTCAAAAAAAAAAAAAAAAATCTCAGAAACTCAGATGTGGAAGAGATATCTGAGGTCCACTGGTCCAACCCCCTAGCTGAAGCAGGAATTCTCTCAATCTTACCCCTGCAATTATATGCTCTTTAACACTTAGCTCAAGAAATGCTCAAAGTTGATTTAACCTATAGAGGAAGGTTAAAAAAAAAAAAAAGATGTTAGACAGGCCCCAAGGATGATAAGGTACAAGAGGGGAAAAAGTTCTAAAAGCAGAGATACACAGCATGGGGTATCAGAAAAGCTAAGTCGGTCTAAAGAAAAATGGAATACTTAGTCCTGCCATGCACAGCTCTGGCCTTGGGTTGTTAAACTTCGTCTGCCACATAGCGGTCTGCACAGTCAAAGTGCTGTGTACACTAGAACCAAACAAAATAAGGAGTCATTCAGAGAAGAAAAATAACTTACTTTCTGTGAGTTGGCAAGACAATATTTAGCTGACAGGTAAAGGCAGCACTGTGAGTTCCAATAAAGACAGAGACAGTTTTATGGAACAGAATATAGGTGTGGGAGCCAAGGGAGCAAGGCTGTAGTCCCCAGCACTGCCACTAACTCAGTGTTAGCACTTGATGAGTCATTTAAAATCAAAGGACAGAATTACAAAGTAACAGAACTGAGAAAGTCCTCAGAAGCTAACAAGTCCAATCCCCTCATTTAACAGATGAGGAAACTGAGGTTCAAAAAGAAGAAATGGTCTGCCCAAGTCCATGTTGCTTCATGAAGTGACAGAGCCAGAAGGCTTCAACCCCGACTGTCTGACTTTTAAGTCAACCATGCCTTGAAATCACACGCATGATGCCTCATGGGTATAGGCCTCAGTTTTATCTGTAATATAAGGGATTAGGATTTAGATGATGTCTAAGGGTCCTTCCAGATTCCCTGGTTTGGATTCTTTGGTATAAAACAGTGTTCCTACACAACAATCTGGTAAGACTCTCTTAACAGACTGTGTTCATTTCTCCACATCAAAAACAACAGAAAGCTAGAGATAAAATGACATTTGGAGAAGAGTCAAAATGCCAATAAATTCTTACAAGAGCCTGTCATAATAATGTGGGTACTGACCAACTTGTCCAGGACTTCAAGGCATCTCAATTCCCATCAGCAGCACTGATGCCAGGAAGAACACACTATCTATGAAACCCTAAAGCCTCTGAATGCATGTGTCGTTCAGTTATGTGTCCTGTGCCCCATGGCTCATTCCTTCTTATATAAATGCAGCTGATGCCAGAGCAAAACAGAGCACACCAATGGAGGGAGTGATGGTTAGCTGTCATCCCTCTTCCTACCTGCCTCCTGGGCTGCTGAATAGAGAGGGTGTGGGGTAAAACATAATAGAACTACCATGCCATTCCCCACTCAGAGAGGAATACCACTACCTCTGAACCAGGATTAGGATAGAAGACAACATTACGACTGTGACAGCATTTGGCGAGTAAACACGGACAGCAGAGCCACAAGGCCCAGAGTGGGTCAGTGCTGATGATGGGGAGACTGAGGCAGGATTCGCTGATCCTCTAAATCCAGCCCACAGCTTTCTCTTGACTTCTAGTCCTGCATCAGTTGTGGGATGGACATTTCTATCTAGATTGGCATCTCAAACTCAGTATGTACAAAACAGAATTCATCTTTCCCCCCTAAACGTACTCTTCTTAAAAACTTCCCTATTCGAGTGGGGGTGTTACTCCCTTCCTCGCTGTCATTCAGGTTTGTGATCTGAGTTACAAAGTGATCCTTCACTCTTCTCACCTTTTAACTGCCCCACGTCCAATGAGTTGCCACGCCTTGTCCATTCTGTCTTCATAATCTCCTTCCACATATCCCTTCCCTTCCTCTCATATGGACACTCCTTTAGGTATTCCACACCTCTCACTTGGACCAATCTAATAGCTGTCTTCTTGGTCTCCTTGCTTCTGGTCTCTTCCTACTGCCAAAATAATTTTCCTAAAGTACAAAGTTCGACCATTTCAACTTCTCTGTTAAAAAAAACAAACAAAAAACTTCACTGGCCCTCCACTGACATTTAAGGTAGTTCATAGTCTGACTCCCACCTATCTTTTTTTCCCCTTCTTTTATTTCAACTATGTCCTTCAACTATGTCCTCTTAGGTTCTAAACTGCCTGAAGAGGACACTCCATTATCTTACCCTGCTTGTTCATACAAGCCAGCCCCACCCCCATCTCTGCCTTTTCGGAAGCCCTGTCTTCCTTTAGGGCTCATATTTGTAAAACACTTAGCATGGTGCCAGGCATGCAGAAGGCATCATAGAAATGCTAGCTGTTATTATCAGGAACTACAACTCCTCTGATCCCTCTCCTCATTTTTTTTTTGTTTGTTTGTTTTGCTTTTTGGTGAGGCAATTGGGGTCACGGAGCTAGTATGTGTCATGTGTCTAAGGCTGGGTTTGAACTCAGGTCCTCCTCACTCTAGGGCTGGTACTCTATCCACTGCACCACCTAGCTGCCCCACCCCCTCCTCAGTTTTGCTTGCACTATACCTTTTGTTAGATCCCTTCAATTAGTACAAAGTGCTTTGAGGCCAGGAACTGTTTCTTTTTTGTCTTTCTATCCTTTGTGCCTAACGGACCACCTTGCACACAAGAAGTACTTAATTAAAGTTTGTTGAATGGAATATTATTATAACTAAAATGTGACATAGCTAAACTCAAAAAAGTCAAATAAATCTACTTCACTCTCTGAATTAGAAATAACATTATTACAAACTATCAGATAAGAGTTAAATGTAGGAGTGCTAACAATGGTGTGATATAACATGAAACAATGAAGGCTGTGAGATATCCAAGGATAGTGATCAAATGACAAGGTTGATGACAACTAAAAACCTATAGCCACTGGCTCAAATGGTAGATCATATTAAAGAGAAGCCAAAAGGGACATTTTTGTTTTACTCCCAAGAAACATTTTCAATGTTAGGGATAGGTTTTCAAGGTTGTGATGTGTCATCACATCATACAAATGATAGCCTAATTGTGCTATTCATAAATTTTCTATATGATGATGTCAGTATAACCTGCCATCAGTAAAAGGCGGTATTCTCTGAGTAGTAGTGATGCATTTTTTGTGATAAGGATGAGACAACTAGCCAAAGTAGCAGGTGTAGACTGGTCTTGCAACAGGTGCTTTTCTCTACACAAAGCTAACTAAATAACTCAGGAATGAAAACTCCTACCCTTTAATCAACTCAGGCCAGATCTATGTAGCACAAAGGGAAATAGAGGGCTAATTATTGCCTGGTGAAGCTGTAGAGAAAGCTAATCTGGATAATTCACAGTCTGTCTTTTTTTCATTCAACCAACATGCTGCACTGCACCATGTTAGGAGAAATAAAAAGATGATGCACTTCAGTATTACAACACAAAAGATACATTACTGAACTGCTGTGCATTTTAAATGAAACAGATCAAAATTCTTCTATACTTTAAAAGATCTTCACAGAGGGGCAGCTAGGTGGTGCAGTGGATAGAGCACCAGCCCTGAAGTTAGGAGGACCTGAGTTCAAATCCAGCCTCAAACCGAACACTTGACACATACTAGCTGTGTGACCTTGGGCAAGTCACTTAACCCCAACTGCCTCACCCCCCCCCCCGCCAAAATAAATAAATAAATAAAGTAAAAATAAAATAAAATAAAATAAAAGATCTTCACAAGCCCCCGTGGATAAAACAAATATTCAGCCTCTGGTGGCCAACATTCTGGTGAAAAATCCCTCTTCATTTAGCTAGGCTAGTCTGAGAATAAGAGACATAGTTTGTTGTTGCTGGACTTGTATAGAAAACAATTCAACACAAAGACACATGGGAAAAGAGGCTATCATTAGACTGATGAAGAATAAATTCAAACAAACTATATCTCACTCTGTATAGCAACATGAACTGAAAATGGGCACATGATTTAGACATAAATGGTGAGATCACAAGCAAATGAGTGGAGCCTGGCAGCTGTGGCATACTGGAAATAGCACTGAATTTTTAGCGTCTAGCTCACAGTCTCTCTCCTCTCCAAGCTGGAGAGGGGATCTGGTGATGTCAATCAATCAATCAGCAAGCATGTATTAAGCAGCTACTATATTCTGAGCATTGTACTAGGTGTTGGGGATAGCTCATAAGCTAATAATAGCTAGCATTTATGTAGTGCCTACTAAGTGCCAGGCACTACGCTAAGCACTTTACAAATATTTCACTTGATCCTCACAGTAACCCTATCAAGTAGTTACTATTTTTATTTCCATTTTACAGTTGAGGAGGTTAAGAGACTTGCCCAAGGCCACTTAGCTAGTATCTGAGGCTGAATTTGAACTCAGGTCTTCCTGACTCCAGGCCCAGAGCTCTATCCATTTTGCCACTTACCTGATACGAAAAACAAAATGACCTTGGTTCTCAAGGGTTAGGGCTAGTTCCTCGGGGAACAATACATGCATATTTAAGCATATACAAAATGTACATACAGAATACACACAACAGAAATAAAAGGTAGTTGAATACAAGGTAGTAGAGGAAGGAGAGTCCTAGCAGTTAGGTGATCAGGAGGTGCTTGAGTTGGGCTTTGAGGAAAGAAGAGGAGTCTCTGAGTCAGAGTTGAGAAGGGAGTCCATTCCAGACATGTGGACAACCAAGACAAAGACAGGGAGATGGGAGATGGAGCACAACATACAAAAGACAGAGAGAAGCCAAATTCAGCTGGACCACAGAGTGCAGTCAACATTCATTCGCACTGATGCACTTTCCAAAGCCTGGTCCTCCCCAGTTCATCAACCACTCCATAATCACAACCTAAATTTCCAATCTCTCCCAGTCCCTTTACCATCACACAAAACTGATCTGCCTCTGCGATCCTGAACTTGGCCGTTCCATTCTCTGATCACAGAAGGGTCTCTCTCCTCCTTGCCCTCTCCTTGTGCCCCTATGTGCTCTCCTCTCTCTTCCCACCCAGAGTCTGCTCCATTAAACAGACCCTACCACTCTCTCATCTTAACTGGCTTCTTCTCCTTGTTCTTCCTCTTTGCTTGTAATAAATTCCCTTCTGTCTCCACCTCTTAGAATCCCTACCTTCCTTCAAGGTTCACACCTTCTAAAGGAAATCTTTCCTTATCCCTAAATGTTAGCCCTCTCTCTTCTCAAACTATCTTACATAATTAGCTGTTTATATTATCCAGTAAAATATAAGCTTCTTGAGGGCAAAGACTGTTTTTATTTGTCCCTGTAAACCCAGAGCATGACACAGTATATTGCATATAGTAGGCATTTAAAAAGAAAAGTTTGCCTATGAACATGCATGTAGGTCTCCCTATCTTCAAAAACAAATCTTCACTTTAGCCTGTCATCTCATCAAGCCATCTTCTCCGTGTCAAAGTCAAATTTCTAGAAGGAGGAGTCTATACTTGGCCTCTCCCAACTTCGTTACCAGTGGGTCACTAAACAGTTCTTTACAATCTGGCTTCCCACCTATGCTCTACTAAGACTGACCTCTCACAGGTTACCAGTGCTAACCCTTTTCTCACTCCTTATCCTACTTGACCTGTCTACATTAGCTTTGTTTTTTTAAAGAAATTGGGTCGCCCTGTCTCATTCTGGCTGGAAGTGCAAGGACCACTCTTGACAGATTCCACTCTGAGGAGCCCAGGAGATTTGATTTCTTCTATTTCCAAGCTGGGCCACAGTCACTTCTCCTTAACGACTTGGTGGTCCCCCAATCCTGGGGCTCGCCATATTAATGCTAAACCTAATCTGGACACCTGACGGACCCAGGTCACTACAGAGCTCACAACTCTCAAACTCAAAAGATCTGCTAGCCTCCACCTCCCTAGCAGCAGGGAATGCAGTCGTGGGCCACTAAGCTCCGAGTCTGTTTGCAGTTTTTTGACATTACCAACCAATTTCTCCTTCTGAATACCATCACCTCTCCCTTGACTTCTGTGAATTGCTCTCTTCTGATTCTCGTCTTCTAATCATTCCTCCTTACCACTATTCCCAACTACAAGTATCCCTCAAGGTTCTGTCCCAGGTCTTCTCTTCTTTCTCTTCACTGTCTATCTTGATAATCACATTCATTCCCATGGAGGTGACTCTCAAATCTATATAGGGATAGAGATCGGATTTGTGATGTCACTGGCATAGGGAACTCCCAGATGAGGAAACTACCTCTACCAATTAGGCTGGTACCTTCTCAGTAACTTACAGTGTTAGGGAGTAGTCTGCGAGGTTCAGTGACTTACCCTGGGTCAACCAGCCACAGTGGGTCAGGATAAGAGCTTAAGTCCTGGCTCCAAGGCCAGTACTCCATCCACCACATCATGGTGCCATGCTCTCTCTCCTGAATTCTCTGCATCCTCAAAGTACCTAGAGAGGGCCTAGCACAGAGTAGGTGCTTAGTAAATGCTGGCTGAATTAAACAGAATTTTAGGTACTGGCTTTGTCACTTTTTGGACTTGGACAAGCAGATTTAACCTCTCTGAACGTCTTCATCTATAAACTAAAGGCATGAATACTTATGCTTTCCACTGTATTCAACATCCACTTGGGATAATATTAGTATCTCACATTTCTACAGCACTTTTCATTTTACACATCGGACTTCACTGATTCTTTACAAAAGCCATATGTAAACAGTGGTACCTCAGTTTTGCAAAAAGAAGAAACAAAGGCTTAAAAAGATGGGTCACACAATAGGGATGGAGTTTTTTCTGTGGACTATGAAGTACAAACACTATCTGTTTTCAAGAATGATTCTAAAGGAATGTCCTTCTAAGAATTCAGCAGCAGGATCCCCTTCAGGGCAATTCTAATGTAAATACTTGATTCAAATATAAAATTCATGCAATATTTATGAAAGTCTTATTTCTTGGTATCATATAATTGCTAGCTTGATGACAAAAGTTTCTGTCATCATATATATAACTACCATCCTACAACATTTATATTTCTAAATAGTCTTTGTAATAAAGATTTTAATCAGTATCT